TGAAATCAGTTATGGAAAAACTGTTGCCATGGCGACGATCGTCATGGTAACGAGTAAACAAAAATCATATTCCTGTGGTGAGGAAATGCGTAGTTGCCAAGTTGTATCGGGTTCAGTATAGATGAAATCAGTTGTGGAAAAACTGTTGCCATGGCAACGATCGTCATGGTAAGGAGTAAACAAAAACCCGATTCTCGTGGTGAGGAAATGCGTGGTTGCCAAGTTGTATTGGGTTCAGTTTGGCTGAAATCAGTTATGGAAAAACTATTGCCATGGTAACGAGTAAACAAAATTCATATTTCCGTGTATTTGTGTTCCTTAAATTTGGACTTGCAATTAGGTTTTGCTGGCACCAAACCTCTACTCAGAGCAAATTCATAACTCTTTCTGGTTTCTCGGAAGAGAAAGTTCGCCGAACGAAGACATTTTGAACCTACACTCGTGTGAGCTTAACGAAACTTGAACTCCACATTTGAAGTGAGACAAGAAAAAACTTCTATCATTTTCAAACCGTCATAACTTTGGATTGGATCAACCAATTTTCAATTTCTTTCAAGATTCTGATAGCTCATTCCATTGAGTAAAACTTTTTTGTTATTCCGCCTTTTCGACATGAAGACCTACAGGGTGATATCTGAAAATAAATATGTCTCATCGAGGGCGATAAAATGAAGAACAATGAGTTTTCCCGAAATGGTTTTGGATTCGAGAGGATTCATACAGGATGTTTCGATGTATGGAATTTTTCACATTGTTTTGCAATTTTCGGCAAGTTTGAGATCGCCCCGTTTGGCAGGGATTTTTATTATGTTTCATTGAGGGCGATAAGATGAAGCAAAATGAGTTTTCTCGAAATGCTTCTCGATTCAGGAAAATCCATACAGAAAGTTGTGATATATGGAATTTTCCTGTAGGTCTTCATGTCGAAAAGGCGGAATTACAAAAAAGTACTGACGTTTTACTCAATGGAATGAGCTATCAGAATCTTGAAAGAAATTGAAAATTGGTTGATCCAATCCAAAGTTATGACGGTTTGCAAATGATAGAAGTTTTTGCTTGTCTCACTTCAAATGTGGGGCAGTTTAGTAAAAACTATGATTAATCAGCGGACACTGGGGATTCTCTTTTGAAAACTCACTTCCAGTCTACTGAGATCAAAAAGAAGTATGCTTTGATAAATTTTAATTCAATGATCAGATGATTTAGATGACATAGAAGAAACAGTGAAAATCCTATATGGGTTCGGAGCATATTCCCTAAGCCGAATCATATCGTTAATGTTGAAAACCTTGAAAATCACATTTTGAAATTTTGAAGTACCTATAAATTAGTAAGTAACCAACAGCAATAATGATATAAAGGGTGTCCAGTTTATTAGAATGAGGTTCCTCAGTGAAAATCGAAACATGGAAACCGTAGATTTGCGCTTGAATAAAGATTGTGACAGATCGACAGCTCAACGATTTGGAATTCAGACAGACTGAAGACTATAATTGCGATGAGGGCTTGGATCAGATGCGCGAGATAAGCGGAAAAATCCGTCAACTGGAGGGCAGACAAAAAACAAGCAGCGAAAACAATGTAATGACACCGAATACCAGTAGCAGAAATATCAAAACCGACGAAAGATATCCAGAGAATTTGTCCAGGGAGTCTTTGATCGACTTGAACGCAGTCCAGAACCTTGCTCCTGTACCCGAAGACATTTTCACTAGGTTAGAGTTCAACATATTTATTTCAATTTGGTTTTCTCTTGGAATTGTTATGCATGGTTCCATTTTTTCATGTTCATTGAGTCACGAACATATTCCTACGTATGCTGGCGATGATAATTTCAGTGAACTTGATTTGTGATCGATTTTTTATAGCTTACTGAATGAATTGTATTTTTAGTTTCTCGTCTAGACCTTCGCGTTCTTCCAGTTTGAGTTCTCTGAAAAGTATGAGGAAGATCAAGATGTATTTGCAGAGAGCAGAAAGCTCAGACGACGATGACAGCTCTGATGCCGACGAACACGATTATTCCAAATTGATTTACGTAAGTCTAATTGAAAAAAAAAACGCACCACCCTATAAAATACAAAAGAATATTGTACTGTCTCAATACATGTTTGATTTTTCAGGGAGACGTTAGCGAAGAGCAGAAATTCTTATCTCCTCACAGCCCAACAAATAAAAAATGTTTAGGGAACATAAAAGAAGAAGCCCATGATCAATGAAAACCGTTTATTCACTTTATTAACTATTCAGTACAATTCAATTATAATTACTTCATAAAACAATATATTCGAAATAAACGATGGTTGATCAATTAGGAGAAATAAGCGTACATACATTTGAACAAGTAAAGGTTAGCCTGAATGTTATGTTTATTTTGCTTCTACTTTGAGATATCTTCTTTTCTGTTGATGAAAATTGCGTGTGTGAAATTTCACAAAAACAGTAAACTCAAGACCTCAAACCCAACTAAAACTTGAGTTATTACATATGTTAATTTACTATTTCTGCAAATTTTTGGAATAACAGGCTTTAGCTTCGGGACTATCCAGCAAAATTGGATATTTTTGACTGATGGTAAGAATGAAAATGTTAGAGAGTTGAAGTACTCCCTGTATGTACGTAAACCTCCACGTAAACATTAACGCTCAAAAAACAACGTAGGTATACAAATTGTCCTTAAATTGAGTTGAAGTCATCAGTATAATTATAGATTTTGTTTCCGGTTTGTTTAGATCTGAACATTCAAACGTGTTAAAATTACATCAATCCTCGATGCAGAACTCTTTGGAAACCCTGACTTATAATTTTGACTCATCGGCATATTTCGGTGATAGTTTGGTTAATGTAAGTACGTTGATATTTGAAGTATTCCTAAACATACAACACAGCTCCCCCTACTGCGCATGTCTCCTCAAACTGATTGAAAAAAAAAAACAATGACTTCGTTCCCGGATGACCTACTCATAGAGGTTTATGTTCTTTCCTCACAAAATATTTAAAAAAAATCGATAACAAGTCTAGCTGGTTGAAGAAAAAAACAATGACTACATTCCCGGATGACCTACTCATAGAGTTGTAATTGCAAAGTTCAATTCTTCTTTGAGAAATACAAAACATTTGTAGTGATACATCATATTATGATAACTATTATAATCACACTGTAATGTTAGGATATTTTGACAACGCGAAAGTTGAATGTTCATGAAAGATAATTAGATTAGAATTATAATATACAGATTAAATTAAACAAATTGGAATGTTTATGCGTCAAACTCATGGAATATATCGAAGAGGTTGATAACAAATTAGAGGAGTTGAGGAAAACGATCACTGAATCAACAAATAAACAACGTTCTTCGGATGTTACTGAAGATAGTTCGTCGAATGGAAGTATTCCACAACCTTCAAGAGATCGAGACGAAAATACCGAATTTTCCCGTGCAAAATCATTCATTCTTCCCGCATTTTGGAAGAATGAACCTGAACTCTGGTTTAGTGCAGTAGATTCAATCTTCCAACTCAACAATATTTTTTCCAATCAAATCAAATGTGGCAAAACACTCGATATTGGACTGTAGCATTGCCAATGAAAATTCAAATCTTTTCAAATTACAAGATCAACCAAATTCATATTCGATTTTGAAAAACCAGCTTATCAGTGTTTATAAAATATCAGATGAGGAAAAAATGACCAAATTATTCTCAGAATGTCAGCTGGGCGATCGAAAACCTAGCCAACTTTATCGCGAAATGACCAATCTTGCGTCTGGTCAGATGACAAAAAGCTTCATCCTCCTGGCTTGGTTGAAGAAATTACCAAAAACTGTTGAGCAATTGGTTCGAGCATTCCACGATAAGCTGAGTGAAGAAGAATTAACTAAAATGGCTGATGGTATGATGGAAGGGTCAGGAAATACAGAAGTTTTCTCTATCAGATCTTCTGAGTCCAGAATCCATCCATTGGTAGATGTAATAGAGCAGCTCATCAATAAACTGGATGAAAAGGTGACCAAGACTTATTCAGAAGGAGAACGCTACCGGTCGAGATCCAAGTCGAGATCCAGAGGAAACTCAAGAGCTAGGGAGTTGGATCACAATGAATCCTATTTTTTTTCCACAGACGGTTCCGAGATTCAACTAGAAAATGCATTCCTCCTTGCTCATAAACTATTATAAGCACACTGTAATGTTAGGATATTTTGACAACTTCCTCGTTGTCAAAATATTCTAACATTACAGTGTGATTATAATAGTTATCATAATATGATGTATCACTTCACATTCATAACCTCACAGTGTCACGTCACGGACGAAGACGGAGACAGTAGAGAGAGTCCCTCACCCATTAGCAATCAATACCAACGGAAACAAGGATTGAGAAATGCGCATGCATAGCTGTCAATTTCTACATTTACGTTAACCTCCATGGAAGCACTTCAACAGAACATTTCTACATAATATGCCGTATCACTGTCAAATTCCAAAAACAGCTCATAATTAGCGAGAAAAACATTTGAATAGGAGATGAATCTCTGACAGTATTTATTGAATGTGAAAACCCTGACCAAGAGATAATTGTTGACATCAGAACGAATCGTTGAAACTGATATTCCCGAATCCCTCCGTAGGATAATTGTGTCTGACAGGGCAATCTCTCGCTCTAGCCGCCCTCAAACACTTGTACGACAAAAACAGGGCCACTAAAAGCGCCACGTACGTCTCCAACCTGTAATGAAACTTGTCTCAGGGCTTATTTTTTGTGGATCAAACTGGGTCTTAAGTGGGTCACACTGTATATTATGAATAATGCATTTTGGTGATTACACGATCGAGCCATTAATCGGTGGCGGGAAAAAATATCAATTAATTATTTATCCAAAAAGACGTAATGTTTCGACATTTTTTGACATTTTTATAGGGGTCATGACTCATTAAAACCCCGTTCTTTAATGAATTCAAATAAACAAAAAGGCGCAAACATTCAGATTTTTTTCACTAACCTGTACCCCAGCATCCAAGCTACTAAAGCACCCAGCAAAAAGTACGCCATGAACTTGTAGCTGCCCATGAAGCGCAGACTCACCCTGGGCGGCAGATGGCTGCCCACTCGGGGCGAGCCCATCGTGGATTTGTCGTACCTGAAGACGGTCCTGGGCGGGCATAGGATCTCTTGGGCGAGACGGCCCGCAAAAGTCGGGCTATGGTACAGCTGGTAGAACGTCGGCCCGTACTGTCATGGACAGGATAATACCACACAGGGTGTTAATTCATTGAGTACCAAAAGGTAGAAGTTAAGGAGTTTAAAAGCTAGTTTTTCGAAAATATTCTGTACATTTTTTCAACCTTTCAACTACAATACATGATCGACAGTATGGTTTCATGTTTGGAATGGAAAAATTCCAGAAATAATGTAGATAATAGATCAATTGTAAATACAAAGTCGTATTTTTGTTTAATAATTGTGGATCTCAACACTTTGTAGTGGTTATTTTTGAAGAAATCTCTAACTGGATACAAATGATACTTTTCACAAATCCTGTTCGAAATAAGACCTCTATTACGAATACATGCTCGGCAGCATCATCTTATTTCCGTCTTTGTTATTCTAGTTGTCAAATTATTTTGTATGTACAGGGCAGTGTCGGTTATAATTTGTACGAGTTCTTCTTGGGTATTTACTAAGGTTCGATCAACTAGCGCTTCCATATGACCCGACACATAATGATCAAGGGGGATTAGGTCAGGGTTTCGCGCTGGCCAACCTATTCGACTTGACCTTCTAATCCAACGTTTCATAAAACTTTCATCTAAGAACTGTCTTCGATATCAGGCCTTTGTGAATATCACTGGTAAAAGTATAAAATTGATTTCTGTCCCAAAACAAAATGTGTTTCCACTCAAATATATTGAATAATTTCCCCTTTGCTGATGTAAATTTTATTAGTGTTTCAAAAAACTCACTCCTATTAAATTTCCTTAACCTAATGTCTGAATTTTACAATCCAGCAAGAACCAAAGAATAGTATACATTGAAAAAGAAAGGTCCACTTACAATTTCGTTAATTTTTTGGGCAATCTGATACAAGGTCCTAACCAGAAAGGTGTTTTCTGAGGTTTTAATGGGGTGCAAATCCGGGTCCCCATCATATCTGATACTTTTGATTCTCGTTCTCACTTTTTCGGGGGTCAGGAATTTCATGTCGTCGGACATATCGAAAGCACTGCTTCCATAAGATGGCGCTGGTTCCAGTTCCGGTTCACGATCTAATATCTAAAAAGTAACTATTTTGATATCTATCAATGGTAATAGAAGTTTCAACGAATTTCTGAGTTGAAACTAGGATCATTCTATCATCTATTCACAAAAAAATGTCACATTGTATGAGAAGAATTTCAAAATTGGATAGTTAGTTTTTATCATCTCCACGATTATTATTTATTTGAAAAAAATGTATCACATTGTATAAAATCAGTTGCGAAAACAGGACAACAAACAACAAAAAACAATTTAATTTGCTCCACACGATGCTAAACGAGCAATAGAAGTGTCAAGACGTTGAAAAATCAGTGATAAATTCAGTATTAGCAACAGGATTTATATCACCCCGTAAATGAGTGGACCCCTAGTAATTCCATATCACAAGCTAGCGATTCATCGGATTCGTTTTCAGAATGCGGTTCGGTTGAAATAGATAACGAGTCATTTCATAATACCACTTTGAATAGAATAATTGTAAAAATAGGATAGTTAGTTTATTCAATTTTCTTCACACGATGCTAACCGAGCAATACAAGTGATGAGACGTTGAAAAATCAGTGATAAATACAGTATTAGCAACAAGGTTTAATTCACCCCGTAAATGATTGGACGCCTAGGAATGTCATATCACAAGCTAGCGATTCATCTGATTCGTCATCAGAATGCGGTTCGGTTGGAATAGATACTAATTCATTAGCATAGGAACGAGTCATTTCATTATTTATTCAAGAAAAATTTATCATATTGTACGAAAAGAATTGCGAAATTAAGATAGTTACTTTATTTAATTCTCTCCACACAATGCTAACCGAGCACATCAAGTGTCGAAACGTAGAAAAATCAGTGGTAGATACTAAGTGTTAGTAACGAGGTTTAATTCACCCCGTAAATGATTGGACGCCTAGAAATGTCATATCACAAGCTAGCGATTCATCTGATTCGTCATCAGAATGCGGTTCGGTTGGAATAGATACTAATTCATTAGCATAGGAACGAGTCATTTCATTATTTATTCAAGAAAAATGTATCACATTGTACAAAAAGAATTGCGAAATTAGGATAGTTACTTTATTTAATTCTCTCCACACAATGCTAACCGAGCACATCCAGTGTCGAAACGTAGAAAAATCAGTGGTAGATACCAAGTGTTAGTAACGAGGTTTAAATCACCCCGTAAATGAATGGACGCCTAGGAATGCCTTATCACAAGCTGGCGATTCATCCGATTCCAGTTAGTCGTTTGTCATGAACGGTTATTGTTTCACGAAAATGTTTCAAGGTTGTGTGGATAGTGTATATTTCCAATTCATCGATTCAGAATCTAACAACAGGTTTTTTTTTCAACTCTTTTTGTTATACCTCGGTGGTAATGTTGAACATATCCATGAGGTTCTGCAGCGAAACTTGTAAATACATGGGCACCTTCTGACGATCCTTCAAAGTAAACTCGTCGTTTGGCACTGGGTTCTGAAAGAAATACTTGATACTGCCCCAGAATCCCGAGTACAATTCTTCCTCTTCACGTTCCTTGTTCCTCACCAATTCCTCAGCGTATCTTATGGATCTTTTTATCTGCATAATCAGCTCGAATACCTACAGGAAAATTATACAGGGTGACAACGAAATCATTGGCTAAGGCGTCATTCAGTTGTTTCTTATGTTAGACTTTTGACATTTGAATATGACTTCCGGTTTCACCGGAGACTTAGGTCGAGAATATTCGATGGAACAATGCACAAAAAATGCAGCGGGAGACGAAGGAATCCGGTTGGTAATTTCTCTGATTTCTCATCTAAATTCCTGCTTCTGCAATAGCAGCTAATAGAAATCCTCGTAAAATTTCTAAAATAATGCAAGAAGGTCTGACATGCTGAAGAAATATGATCGTGTGTGTTGTAGACATTTTCAATCTATTAGCAGTATGACCTTTTATTGCAGGAGTTGCAGAAGGAATTTTAATAAGAAATAACAAAATGTCATGATGAAAACTATGTGAGATTACTATTTACCTGAAAAATCATATTCCTTCGTCTCTCGCTGCATTTTTTGTGCATTGTACAACGGCACAATGAGAAGGCATGCTTGAATTAATGAATAGCGCATAAAACAAGATTCGTATGCCAAAATATTGTGAAAAACTATTTCAATCCTTTGATTCCTCTGTAAACAAATACAAAAAGTGAGGTTGTGTTTCAATGTTCCACAGAAGAGTGAGGTTATGTTTCAATATTTTACCTCCAGGGTCCGTCATCGTGCACGCGAACTATAAAAAAACATCCCTTCCCAATAACATATCACGGTGGACATTGAATTTCAAAATGGCGGCGCAGGAGACATTTTTCTGAAATCAATATGGCGACACTTTGACGTCATCGATCAAATTATCGTCATGCAGCTTGATTATAGCAAATAAACGAAGCACTTTGATTAGTTTTCGATAAAACATATGCAAGCATTTATAGATGCATCGCCAATCTGGATTCCTTTTAGTAATGCATTCAAATTACATTATTCCTTTGGTATTTTCTACAAAATTTCAATATATCGCACTGTTTTCAATTTATCAACAAAGTATCTACAGATAAATGCTTCACACACTATTCCTCTTGTTTTTATTTTTAATCAAGACATCATTGTAGTTTTATTACATCTAAATAAATAACTGCGTCAACAAAAACAAATCCTCATTGGCGATGAATCAAAATGTTCGCATTTTCATTAAATAGTAATCAAAGTGCTGTGTTTATTTGCTATTTTATCATGCTATTCGACGAAAGTTTGACCGATGACGTTACGGTGCCATATTGATTTTAGAAAAAAATGTCTCTTGCTTCTTCATTTTGAAAAAATCCACTAGCGATATATGTCATTGAAGAGGGAATTTTTCGCTATATCGAATGGCGTTGAAAAATATCTACAGGGTTCCAAGTTTTTTCTTCCTGTAAAACCGGAAGTGATATTCAATTATGTTTTCAAGGGAAACATAGGTTTTAAGGAACTATATCTTCCATCCAAGTATCAAGTCTAACATGAAAAACAACTCAATGGCGTCCTGGCTGATGATTTCGTTGTCATCCAGTATATTATTATTAATACTGATAAACAGCAGAAGGTTGTTGTTTTTCAAATGTATTCACCTCCGGAGCAGGCGGCTCTGAAAACAGCGGTCTATAAACGAAATTGGGTCCTTCCAGCTCGAAAATCCTTTGCCGTACGATTGCCGCCCATTTTCTGTCTGCGGGCGGCTCACCGCCCAAGAAAGGGGCGGCCAGCAGATTCCTGCCCCCGGTGTTGGTAGACCACGTGGCGGTGGGATTGAGGGGCGGCAAGTTGTTTTTCCATGGATCGTTGTTGAATTTGTGCGTGGGCGAATTGTTGTTTTCCACGCAACGCTCGACTTCTCTTATGAACTCCGGCAAGTTGGGTTGATCGAAAACCTACGATTTTTGTCATCTTCTTTATTTATTCGTTTATGTACGAACGGGAGTGAAGTAGCATTTTACCGCCTGGGTTTTGCGGGCGTGAAGTGGCACTTTACTGCCCGCGGACTACATTACCGCCCAGCGTATGAATAACTGGTTATAAGCATTCCTGTATGATTCAGCACATCATGTTTTAGTTGTGATGGTTCCTGATCTAATACTATAGCAGACCTCGTAAACCTTGTTTTGCTTGTATACATTATTCCTATAATATATTTTTTCAGTTCAATATTCGTCAAGACACTATTATTATTATATTTTCTACTTCTTTTCAGTTTCGCTATCTATAAAAGAGCGTGTTTCTTTAGTTTTTCAAACTACCGAGTACTTCTTTTAAGTTCACTTGAATTTCCCAATTTTGACGAAAAGAATCATAATATCCGACTCCTAAAACCCCCAAATGGAAATTTTGAATAGAATCGGAACCTAATTACAAAAATCGTCCGCAATATTGGATCTACCATCTTGAATTCCCTAATTTTGACGAAGGAATCAAAATTTTTGATCCCGAAAACCTCACTTACAAATTTTGAATAGATTCGGTATATAATTTTAAAAAACGTCCGGTATACTGGTTCCACCGTTTTGAATTTCCAAATCCCGCAATTTGCAATTTTTGACAAAAGAATCATAATCTCTCCGACCCCGAAAACACCCAGATGACAATTTTGAAGAGAGTCGGATCATAATTACAATACTCGTCCGCCATATTGAGTCCGCCAACTCGAATTTCCTAATTTTGACGAAAGAATCATAATCTCCGACCCCAAGAACCACCAGATACCAAATTTGAATAAAATCTAAATCCTAATTACAAAATCCGCCATTTTGGATCCGCCATCTCAAGTTTCCTAATTTTGAAAAGGAATCATAATCCCGATCAGAAAAACCCCTAGGTACCAATTTTGAAAAGAATCGGATTATAATTACAAAACTCGTCCGCCATATTGGTTCCGCCATCTTGAATTTCCAAATTCCGACCGGATTTTCAAATCCTGACGAAAGAATTATAATCTCCGGCCCCGAAAACCCCCAGATACCAATTTTGAATAGAATCGGACCATAATTACAAAACTCGTCCGATATATTAGATCCGCCATCTTGAATTTCCTAATGGTACCGAGATAAAAAGTATCCTATAACCTTCTGCTAGTTCTAAGCTACCTCCCCACCAATTTTCAGCCAAATCGATCCAGTAGTTTCGGTGCCTATTCAATACATACAAACAAACAAACAATCAAATTTTTTCTCTTTATAATATTGGTATAGATGAAGCCTCTAGGTTCTTTCAGGCATTGCAGTGTATCAGCGTGAGTAAAAATCTTCAAAAAGAAATCATCAGTCACAAAAATGTGCAGTGGCCTCGTTAAAAATATTTTCGTGAAAATAGAAAGAGCAGATGCTGGCTTGTCAAAAAACTTACTTTGGATATTCTGTACAGCATAAGAGACATCTTCGGACTGACCAAGTCTACTCTACCGAACCTCGGTAAAAGCTGTTGGAAAATAACCACAAAAGCCAGTAGATTTTCTGCAATAAACGGTATAAACTCCTTTTCCACTCCGTTTTGAGATCCCGCCGTGATATCATCGAGATCAGGATTGGTCTCTTTTTTGTTGCTAAAAATAATTTATGAGGAACCGGCAAAAAAAACGACCAGAGAAAAATGTATTTATATTGACGCCCTGTAATATTTTCAATGTTACTCCGATTTTGCCGACATTTCTACCAAATCGTATATTCATGTCTCGGAATGTTAGCATGAATTTAGGTTCTGAAGAAAAGCTGATGGCTTGATCATTATACACGGAAAAACAAAAGTTACTCTATCACCCCTAACTTCTTAAACACCCTTGTATAAAAGTGAGTGGTTATACATTTAGCTTCATATTTGTTTTGAATACAAGTGTGATCCATTCGTAACATAATTTTTTATTTACGTCAATATCTTCTTTTCAAGAGAAGATACAGAAAGTATGGGATTTTTTAATTTCAATTTTAACAATAATTAAAAACCTTTCAACTATAGAGCATCTTTGAGATGAACTCCTGAGGCGATAAGTTCATGTTAAGTTGAGAAGGGAAAACACTCCAGTCCAAAACCACAGAGTTTAAGAAGTTTAGGGTAACAGAGGATTTTTCGTTTGTCCCTGTATACTAGATAGGAATTAGTGCGTCGGAGCTCGATTGCTCGAGTTCTATGATAGCTAGAAAGCTGATTCAAAAACGAATGTGAATGAGACAACAAGGTCCATAACAAGAAAATATTGCCGAATATACAGGGGGTACTGAAAAAATCTAGAGTATCGGAATTTTTTTTTTTAATAGAATGTCCTGTATATTGGCACATTTTTTTAAGCATCCCGGTCACCTCCATCCACCCCTATAATATCGTGGAATATATCTCTACCATATAAAAGTTATGATTTTTTTTGTCGAAATAATGTCATCTGCAGATGCATACTGAAAAAGTTACTGTGGTCACAATTATGAAATTAAGAGAAAATAATCATAACATCATTTGATGAAAAGATGCATGATATTTCTGAAGACTTTTATAATAACCCTCAAATTATACTAGGTGGCTGATAATGATTATTCAATTCGGAACTTTAGGAAGTCATTTTTTTCGAGTTTTTCAAGTGGCCATTTTATGTAAAATCAGAACACGAACATATTTTATATCAACATCCATATTGTTATTCGTAACTATTTTTGAAATATTGAACTTTGTAAATTTCCCTGGATACACATTCTTATCTGTTAGTGAAAGAACAAAAGTCCAGGGCATTCCATTAAAAAAAATGAACCCGACGTAACGACCCGACCCTCTAGATTTTTATTGGTATACAGGGTGCGGCACCGAAAACGAAACAGAGGCTCTGTAGGTCGCCAAAACCGGATTATAAAAAAAATCTGAAACACGTCAACTATATTTTCGAGGGGGACATCGTTCTAAAATATTTTCAGCCCTGCGGCGTTGCCGCTTCTAGAGAAAAGAAGCAACAACTTTGTTATTTCAAATGGAACACCATGTATTTTATTGTATTTTTAGATTCTCCCCGAAGAGCTGATTTCATCAATGTATCACACTTGGGGTCCAGCTGTAATGGTTTCAGGGATATAAAGTGTTCAAAATCGAGATTTTTCAACTTTAGCATTTTTTTGTGTCGAAACTATTCATTATTGGTCCAAACGGCTTTCATGTCCCTATCTCAACTTGTGATTTACTATCTACTGACATTTATTTGAAACAAATACAGGGTGGTTCAAGATTCAGAATTCTGATCACCCTGTATCTGTTCCAATTAAATGTTAGTAGATAGTAAATCACAAGTTGAGATAGGGACATGAAAGCCGTTTGGACCAATAATGAATAGTTTCGACACAAAAAAATGCTAAAGTTGAAAAATCTCGATTTTGAACACTTTATATCCCTGAAACCATTACAGCTGGACCCCAAGTGTGATACATTGATGAAATCAGCTCTTCGGGGAGAATCTAAAAATACAATAAAATACATGGTGTTCCATTTGAAATAACAAAGTTGTTGCTTCTTTTCTCTAGAAGCGGCAACGCCGCAGGGCTGAAAATATTTTAGAACGATGTCCCCCTCGAAAATATGGTTGACGTGTTTCAGATTTTTTTTATAATCCGGTTTTGGCGACCTACAGAGCCTCTGTTTCGTTTTCGGTGCCGCACCCTGTATATGCGATAATAGTAGGAACGTGAATCTACGATTCGGTCTAAATTCCACCATAATCGGACAATAAAAAAGTTACAGGGCGATCAAGTTTTTTGTGGCTGATTGTTTTTGTTGCAGAGTGTAGATTGAGTAGCATACTTTTCAAAGACCAAATAAAAGTGGAGCCCATGCATGTTACTTACATGTGCTTAATCAGATTATTTGGAGGATACCTCCAAGGTTGTATGAAGCTGAGCCACAGCTCCAAAACGAGCCGAAACGAGCCATCCAATGGCCAACGATGGATCAAGTTTCTCAGGAAAATGTAAAACTTCCCCTGTATCATGTGAAGTGAAATTTTTTTCAGTTCCCCCATGTAAGTGTCATCAGCTCGGGCACTGGCATGAAAGGAATGCAACTGTTTTATTAGCACCCTGATTATTCTCATGTATTCGCCAGTCGGTAATTCATTATGATGGAAGGACCTCTGAAAAATGTTTTATACAGGGTGTCGATAACAGCAGACATAGTTACCATTGAGGGTGATGAATTATAGGAGCTGCTCAAACTGCTGTCAGTTTCGTTGACTTGATTATTGTGCAACCACATGTCTGCAAAATAGTAGATTGTTTAATTAGGATCAAAAGTGACACTTTGTTTGACAAGCGAATTTTGCATTTGCGAGGCGGAGCGTTTAGCGAAGCCGAGCGAAAGCAAAATTTGCGAGTCGAACAAAGTCACTTTTGATCCGAAGGAAACATGCTATTTTTTCTGCAACCGAAACAATAAACTCAATTTAATATGTGAAGTAATCACCAATGCCGTGACATATGTATGTATAATGCAACGAATATTGACAAATAATCCGTGTGGTGAGAATATTCTAACTGCATTAATAGCAGGTTTATTGAATTTTCAGGGATTTTCGAATTGTAGTTTCAATATAAATACAACCACAGATTGACATATTTGTGTATGGACCAGGTGCTCTAATGGCAAATACCGCGCCAGTGCCAGCTATAGGAACAAGACGGAAAATGTTAGGTTATTGAGCATATCAACAATAATAATATCGATTATTTATTCCTCTCTATACTACACTCTGTTTGACTTGATAATCAAATGAGGGTAAACGTGGTAACGTTGTTTGAGACAAAAAAACTATTGCTTGCCGTGATTATTCAAAAACAAGTTATCCATCCCGAAAATAACGAATGAAATACAGATCAAGCAAGTGATTGAATCTTGAAGGCTTCCCTGATCAAAACAAAAATTCTCAACTGAGATGTTTATAATGCCAATACTGGCAATAATTAACTATAATAAGGTGTATTTATATCTCCAGCATCGGTATGAAATGCCAAATATGCCGAAATCGGGAACAAATCAGGTATGCGTCTCAACCCAAATAACCAACCGCAACAATGTCGTTCATTCTCAATGACGTCCAGTACATCCTTTTTAGTTCCTAGGAGCTAAAGTTCAACTTTAGCTCCTAGGACCTAGTTCCACTTTAGCTGCTAGGAATTAAATATGTTTCCTAACAACATACCCACTTTTGTGTCAGTAGTAGAAACGTCAATTTAAGAGCTAATTTTGGTATCAAAATGGACGACTTTTGTGTCGGTTGCAGAAAAAGGTTATTTTAAATTACCAGACACCACTTTGTATACGAAAAAATACCTGTGAAAATTGTCAGAACACTTTCACTTCGCCATATGTCATTCCGAGGGTGGTGAACATCTAAATTATTTTGAAATGAGTCTTCATTGGCGTTTGCTAAAGTTTTAGCATTTATAAGACCTGAACTTTTTGGCTGTTGTTCACTGAAAATGATGATAAATTCTTTTCCAGTTAGAAAAAGTTAGCTACAACTGAAAGGCTAAACCCTGATTTTTCCACTAGAGTTTTTATTCAAAGCAACAATCTATTTAGGTCTGATGAATTAAATATAAATTATACAGTATACAGGATGTGATTTAATTGATGGCTGAAAATATAATATATGGTTCATTAGCTCACTTAAAGAAGAAAAGTTTATATGAACATATGCACTAAACCTCTTGACTTTCGAGTTATAGGGTGTTAACATTTTAAGAAATCATTCGTTTTCTCATCATCACTTCAATATTGTTCTAGATATTTTCATGGAATTTGACATGAACCTACTATAAACACCATGTGGAAGTTTGGAAGATCTGCTTTTTCAATTTTTTTAAAACTATTTCATTAGCTTATTCACCTGTATGTATGAATGAAATTTTTGTTAGACAAAAACAAAATGGCGGCTCCAAAATGGCGGACAAGTTTTGTAATTATGATCCGTTTCTATTCAAAATTTGTATCTGCGGGTTTTCGGGATCAGAGATTGTGATTCTTTCGTCAAAATTTTGAAATTCAAGATGGCGGATCAATCCAATATTCCGAAAAAGTTTTGTAATTATGATCCGATTCTATTCAAAATTGGTATCTGGGGGTTTTCGGGGTCGGAGATTATGATGCTTTCGTCGAAATTTTGAAATTAAAGATGGCGGATTCAATATGGCGGACGGGTTTTGTTATTATGATCCGAATCTACTCAAAATTTGTATCTGGGTGTTTTTGGGATCGAAGATTATGATTCTTTCGTCAAAATGGAGAAATTCAAGATGGCTAATCCAACATGGTGGACGAGTTTTGTAATCATTTGATTCGATTCTACTCAAAGTTGGTATCTAAGGGTTAACGAGGTCGGAGATTATGATTCTCTCGTCAAAATTGGGTACTTACAAAAAATATAAGAACACTAAAAAACACGCTTTTGTAGTTAGCTGAACTAAAAAATAGAAAATAATTAGTAACTAAAGAAACACCCTTATATAGATAGCCAAACTGAAAATAACGAAAAATAAGTAGCATCTCTGTTATCAGTATATTCTATGTTGTATATTTATCAATAAACTTTTATTATTTTATTTTCTATTCTTTTTAGTTTGTCTATTAGAGGGTGTTTCTTTGGTTTTTCAGACTACTATTTATTTTCAAGTAAAGTCAAATCATTGAATTAACAAAAATTTGAACCAACCATTTGAATTTGAAAAATTATTTTCATTTTCGGGAAAAACAAGGGAGTATCATATTTTTTTAGAAAAATATTAGATGTACATACATCCCCTGTGATCCCATACGGACGGCAATGGTGAATATATTAAAAAATCTCCTGTATCAAAAAATTCACATTGGTGCTTAGTAGGTGCCTTTCAAATTTAATGAAAATATTGAACAGTTTTGATGTTATGATAAGAAAACGATTTTTTCCTTAAATTTTCAACACCCTGTATAGCTCAGAAGTTAATAGGTTTAGGGCATATGTTTATATATGAACTTTCCATCTTAAAATTAGCTGAGGGACCACATCCTATATTTTCAGCCATCAATTGAATTACACCCTGTACATATAGGTACTAATTATTATCAGTTAATTAGGACCTACATACCTATACTTTTATTATTCCCAAACATCTCATTTTATAATAATAATAATAATAATAATAATAATAATAATAATAATATCAAGAAAATGAAGCTACTTTTCTATTGTGAAGTTTCAAAGATTACTGTTTATGTGGAAAATAATTTCAAATTTTTTTAGCATTTCTGAGTGGCACTTATTTAAACATTTGGAAAAAGTTTTTAAAGGGTTCATATGGGGTTGTAGGTTTCTGAGGTTTTCTAATTGAAAATGAATACCTATAGAATATACAGGTACCTGCTAAAGTTCAGAATATATATGAATAATTGAAAAAAAATAAAGATCTCTGAAGAAAATTCAAGGTGTAACTTTTCAATTACTGGGTATTTCAGATAGTATCTTGGTGGATCTTACAAGAGATTTCTGTTCATTGCTTGTAGTGGATTTTTGCCATTGTAATAAATAAGGGGCAACACCACTGCTCCTGGTTCAGTAGGCAGAAAATGAATAATGTAATCACAGCAAAGCACATAGTAAACAGTGTTCCAAGAGGTCACAGCAGAACCAGCTCTTTGTTGCCATGGATTGATCAGGTGATAGGCAAAATGGAACATGTAGAAGTCAAAGGGATCTAAAAAAGAGCTACAATTTTTTATGATCCCTAATAACAAAATTTCACTACTTATAAATGTATAATTCCCTATAATATAATGAAAAGTGTATTCCAATCATAATTTCTAGTTGGGTAAGGCAATGATATTATTTTTTGCAATCAAATTTTGAATAAGAATAAAAGTATGTATAACTTGAACTACTGAGAATTTTGATAAATTTTCCATCACCAGTAATTTTGTATGAAACATGCATACTTACTCAGCATTAAAGATACAACATGCTTAGCCTGAGAATTGATGTGGCATAACTCAGAATAGAATGGATGCCCTGAGGAATGTTCAAGAAATTGCCTGATTTTTGTCTGAAATAATAGTTAAAATTGATGTTGTGTTAGAATTCATTGTGACTAAACAATTCTTTATACACTTTGTTGTCTTATGACTCTCTATACTTATTTTGAATTATAGAGCAGTCATAAAGCATAGTAAATAGTCATGTTTTCTGCAAAATAGAAACAGAGAAAGGTGAGAAGTTGTGTCTTCCAAATTTGTGGTTTTATTTAAACAATTTACCATTCAATAACTTACTGGGAGAAAAGCTAGTGGAAAATCATATTTGATATTGGAATCTTTGAGCAGGGTATAAATCAATTTGAAGAGTGGTCCACAAGGTGACAAAAAGTGTTGCAGTTGCCGAAAATCTTCACATTGTGTTTCTGTAGTAGTTCGAAGACCCCATGACAGGGTGCCTTGTGGGCCAAATATATTATCTATTAAAACTGGAAAGAGATTGTGTTGTTGTAGCAAGCTGGCACGATCTAATAGCACTGTTAATTCCGCACATCGTGTGCGAATTGGTAGACTCAAGGCATGCTGAATCCCTACCTAGAAATATAGAAAAATATTGTTGATCTGAAATTTTTCCACAAACCAATCACTCACGAGAAAATTATCTTGTTCTTTGACATGCATCGCAGTTTCATAAAAGATTCTACAGTCATGAAAGATATTACATTTATTAGACAATCTTTAAACTACTTTTGTATTTTCATTTGAATTTTGGATATTTACATAACCTCAAATATACGAAACTGACATTTGTTGCCGACTGCTGACCAATGAACAACTGGAAGGGAGACGGCCCTCTCGAATGACCGACAGCTGCTTATCGGCTAATGGCTAATGAGGTTAATGGTTAATAGAACTAATGGTTAACGGTTGATATGACTAATGGCTGACGGGCCTATAGGCCAATGAGGTTATGGACACTTTGTCAGTGTCTTAACGTCATTCATTTGTCATCATCATTGAGTCATCTTTCAAAAAGTCAAAACTAAAAAACAAACAATTATAATTTATGATAAAAAAGTCCAAAAACGCTTCAAAAACTATTATAATAATATTATTGCATATTTCATTTCCTATTCTTGGAAGCTAAAGGAGGAAACATTTTTTAAATTTCAGAAACTGCTCGGAAATTCTTTTTGACGAAAAAGGAGATCTAATAATGACTGATATGATAGTGGAGGTGGACAAAACAAGACCAAATATACGAATAGAAATACAAAACGAGAAAATGGATGTAGATGAAAGTGAAGAGGGAGAGATTGTGGATGATGATTCAGATAATAACACTGCCATAAAAGTTTCATCTCAAAATATTGGAAATGTATGTCCAATGTTTACAATGTTTTGAAAAGTGAAATATCCTTCATTTCAGGTACTTTCTACAAAACGAAGTGTGTTCACAACAGGAATAAACATTTTTGATGATCATGAACAGAAAAAACGGCAAGAAAGAGCAAAGAGATTTGCCCTGAAACCTGAAGAAATACACAACTTCTCTGAAGCTGATGTGGAAGAACTATATGAGAGTTTAGGAATAACAGATGAAAGTGACCCCAACATCAGATTTGATGCTCTGCATCTACTGGGAATAGCAGGATTGACTGCAGAAAATATTCTTGACTATTTTGCAAAATATGCCCCAACAAGCTTAGAATGGATTGATGCAGACAGTTGCAATGTTTTGTGGATGGACCATGTTACAGCAGCTAGAGCTATTTTCTATACTTCCAAAGCTGTACGTGGCATGCCAGCTAGAGAACAGGTCAATACTTTTGCTAAAGAATTCATGGATGATGTAGATAATCCAGAAGAAAACACAGGTCAAAGCATTTTGTTAAGGAATAGGCAGGTAAGAAATATCTTATTCAGCTACTATACTTTGTTTTTATTGACAAAAATTTGGTTTGTGTGCAGGTGGAGTTGAAAATTGATGATGTGCTTAAACCTAGCAAAATAAATCCCAAGAATTCAGTTGATATATCAGAGATAACAATTCCAATACCTCCAGGCTATTGGAGATTGGGAGGAAAATGCCCAAAATCAAATTGTTTATTGATGAGATTTGCTCTGAGAACTGATAAGAAACCTTATAGAGCTGAAACATTGGCAAAATATTACAAAAAGCTTGCAAATTCTAAGAGTATTATAGATGAAGGAAAGAAGAAAGAAATACGTGGTAAGTACATTTGTATAGGGTTAAGATTTGGAAGGAAAAAAGCTGTTTTATACTTAAGGTGAAAGTTAAAAGTTGAAATCTAGGTTGAAATTATAAAAATAGTTCAATATTTCCATTTACCATGTTTTTACATTCAAATTGATGTGAAAATTGGTAACCTGTATTCATATTTTCAATGGATATCCCATATAAAAAGAGTGAATGTGATATATAATATAAAATTTCAAGTCTAGTTTCAAGTATACTGTTCTGTATTTGAACACCAGGTATCTAAGTTCTTTTTGATGCTGGTAATAATACTTATACATTCATACCACTAATACTTGTTGAAATATAATAATTATAACTATTTGAATACTCTTTTCTCATTTATTATTCAGATATTTCTTGTCTTTCTTAGAAAAATATTCAATATTCAGGTCTAATCAAGAATTCAAAATACTCTTTTCAGAGTCTTTGCCCAGCTCTGATTCAATTTGATGTGAATTGACTTTTTTTTCAGAATGGAACACTATGTATATAATCCTTTAGATCTGTATGTAACATACCTACAGGTTCAAAACTGGTCATCTGTGATTTTTCTTAATTCCTCCATTTATCAAATTTTTTTATGAAGAAGATACCCTAAATCTTATGAACAATTCACATATTCAGTGAAAAGTGGCATAAGGCATTGGGAAAATCATTGATGAGGTCATATATTCTAAAAGGTTCATCCTGTATACTTGGAACAGGTGTTAATAATGTACATGGTTATCTATTCAAAAAGCCCAAATTGAAAAAAATATGCAGAATTTGGCACAATGAGGCTTTCCAACACCCTTATCAGTCATTTTTCTCAAAGAAACACCCTGTTTTTTACATACTTTTCGGATAATGTGATTTTTTGTGATTATAAAAATATATATACATATATATACAGTATGTTATTTTAACTAATGGATCATAATCTCCAATCCCAAAAACCCCCAGATACAAATTTTGAATAGATTCGGATCATAATGACAAAACTCGTCCGCCATATTGGATCCGCCATCTTGAATTTACCAATTTCGATGAAAGATTCATTATCTCTGACCTCAAAAACCCCCAGATACCAATTTTAAATAGAATCCGATCATGAGTACAAAACTCTTCCGCCATATTGAATCTGCCATCTTGAATTTCGAAATTTCGTCGAAAGAATCAATACTCTGAAAACCCGCAGATACAAATTTTGAATAGATTTGGATCATAATAACGAAACCCGTCCGCCATATTGAATCCGCCATGTTGAATTTTGAAATTTTGTCAAAAGAATCATAATCTCTGATCCCGAAAACCCGCAGATACAAATTTTGAATAGATTTGGATCATAATAACAAAACCCGTTCGCCATATTGGATCCGCCATTTTGAATTTCCAAATTTTGACGAAAGAATCATTGAAATCTCCGACCGCGAAAACCCGCAGATACCAATTTTGAGTAGTTTCGGATCATAATTAGTGTTATATTATTGTCATAATTCAATAAACACGAGCACAAATGACATGGACAAGGGTTACACTTGCTCACAACTCGGCTGCCAGCCGAATACTATATGAACCAGTCTTCACACACGTCTGTCATAGGCTCTGATTTAAGCACATTCCACTGAGCAGTAGCGCATCTAGTTGCTAGATGCTAACAATTAGAAAACTCGTCCGCCATTTTGGAGCCGCCATTTTGTTTTTTTGTCTAACAATAATTTCATGATGCATTGCCACCCGAACTATGTACACCTGCCAAATTGCAATACATACATACAGGTGAAGCTAATAATAGGGAGTTAAAATGTAAGGCGATTTTCACCATTCCGGTATTTTTGGTAATCCTGATTTCTAAACAGGAATTTTCGAAAGAAATAAGGAATTGAACGATAAAAACCCTTGGGGCTCCTTGGCCAGAAACTGGGACCACGACGCCAAGTTCCGAGAACAAATACCAAACCACGTGGATGAGCCCCAAGTGGAAGTGAAAAACCCCAGCTTATTAGTACGGCTAGGAAGAAAAAAAGTCGAAATCGAACCGGAAGATAAAGAAGAAGTGGAAGAGGAAGAAGCTGAAGAAAGGTGAATAGGCCAATCATTTGGTGCTGAAAAATGGGGTTACCTGGAAAGTTTTCCGAGAATTTCATAGATTTCCACCTGCTATTTTCGAATTTTCACTTTGCCGCTCGTTCCGTCATATTGGAAAAGTGTTGCCAAAATCAGCAGGTATTTTGAAGATATCTTTATTCCAACTCATTTAAAAAGGAAAGTAGTAATGTGATGAATAGGCGAGTGAACTATTTTTTTTTATTCCTTAAATAGAATCATCACTCGAATACCTTTCGTAAGTAGGAACTTCAGAAATATTTTAGTTATCACTTGAGTATTGGTAATATTCCTAATCAGCAATAAAAAATCAATTGTCTCAAAATGTTCCCTTATGATTTGTGGCTTAATGCTTACAATAAATTTATAATTCACACTAGAGGACAATGAAATCGGTGAACGTGACAACCCCGCGCACGACTTGTGGGCGTGGTCTTGTCAGTTCTCAGCATTCAGCACAATGTTGCCAAATCTCCAACATTCACATGATATTTGTTTATGGAGAATAAGAAACATTTGGACATGCTGGCTGATCAAAAAAGTCAAGAATGAACTAAAACATTATGGGTTCCTCCTATTATGTTTTATTCAACGATAGGACTCTAACATATTTTTGATAACTTGATTATAATTGGTGACTTGACAACCTTGCTTTATGAGTGGAAATGGAAGATTATCTGACCAAAAATGAAACATCTTCATCTTCAAATGGTGGCCATGAAGATTCGTTCGAAATGAGCTCTCAAATTCAACAATTTTGAACAATGCATAGAGACTCATTATTTACATAAAAAAAGCGAGAGAAGAGTTGCAAAATTTAATTTAGGTTTCTAACGATACAGTGGAGAAATTGAATGCCTATAATACATTATCACTCCACTCGGCCATTGAACTAGAGAAAATTTCGTATAAGTTATGTGAAATGAATAGTTTCAGGTGTATGAGTGCCGCTAACAACACATTTCAAACAATCTCACACCTACCTCCTTTTCCTATCCACCCTGGGTTCAAACATTATAGAAATGTCCTTTGGTGCGCTCCAAGAGATAAAAATATCTATCTACTCCTACATGCGTATTTCGTATACAGATTTCCTTCGTTTCCATAGCGACAGTATCGCTATCTCCTGATTTTGGGCGCCATTTTTCCATTACGACGACGCAAACGGAAAATATATGGTGTGGCAAAATGAAAATTTGAAAAGGGCGGGTCGAAATCTATGAATAAACCAATTTTCAAAACTTCCGGAAAACTGTCCAGGTTAAACTACCAAATGATTGGACTAGAACGGAGAAATATGGCAATGTAATTGAATGCAATTTCGAATACTTTTCAAATTTTTGTTTAAAGTCCAGAAGAATCACCGCCAAGATCAAAAGGAATTCCTCGGATGCGCATGTACGCTGATGAGGAAGAAGAAAAGGTTAGAAGGAAAAAACTTTTACAGACCATCAAAACGCAGTCCGACAAACTGTTCAGAGAGGAGACGAGACCACGCGATTTAAGGAACATCCTGTCAGTCACCAACTACAAGGAACCCGTGGAAATCATTGACTTGGTACTAATTATTATACAGTGCCCGTCTAAAGTCCGTCCCCGTCCTACTAATTTTTGAACCACCTGGTATATTGCAACACAATTTTAAAGGCTCAAATAGGAGATGAAAACCTACTTTTTCTATGGAAAAATGACAGCTTGAAGGATTATGAGAAGAAGTGAAATAATTCGAAATGGCGCTCAGTCGCCATCTCAAAACTTTTAGCTGTAATTTTTCCATGAAAAAGTAGGTTTTATTTCCTATTTGAGCCCTCAAAGTCTCGTTGTTGGGGGAGAACTGACTTTCGACGGGCACTATAAATCTATATATACAGAGTCTCAAATAAAGTTCAAAATATTTTGATTCACCTTCAGTATAGAAATGATATAAATAAAAACTAAAAGAGGACCCAAGATGGATCCTTGCGGTACCCCAATTTTTTTTCCATACTTTATTCTTCGAATGTAGGTACTGGAGGAAGATCTCGGTAAAAAGCTGAAAAATCGCTCGAAACATATGGTGTATTCTGTCGAACACGGAATGGAGAAGGTGGAGCCATACGAGCGTAAAGAAAATGTACGCTCGGCTGACATAAGGGCCGTACTTGAAGAGAGAAGGATCCGATCCCCTGAACACAGAAAACGAGAATATCGAAGGTAAAAATTGATTGACATCGACATACTACGGTAAATTATTCGTCTATCAGAAAATTTTCTATTGTATTCTTGAACATCAAATGCCACCAATTTTTATTTCACTTTATTTCTGGCAAGAATTATGGAGCTGTATCAATTCACAAATTCAGATATTGGTTATTGATTAATAGAGGTCATTAATGGTTGTTTAACCAACTAGTGCATTAATATAAGGGCGATTAATTATACAGATATCGCCTTATTGATATACGAGTTGGTTACAAGTAACAAAGTAACAAGAACACTGACTAAAGTTGCAAAAATTAGTGTTTTTTGCAACTTTCGTCATGCATTTCTCTATTTTGCAAAATCCTACTATTAATTAATTATACAAATCGACGCAATTATCATTTTTCGTAGATCGCCTGCCGAAAGAAAACGGTCTAGGAGTCCCATAAGACGGTACGCTGTCCCTGTGGGAATGAGATCGTCCCCTTCCAGAGAAAGAAGAAGATTCCAGTACAGGGATCGGTCTCCTCATAGAACTTTACACAGCGACAGGATGAGCGTGAGACGCAGAAAGAGAAATACAAATTATTCCGATGACGACAGTTTCACACACAAACCGAGAAGTAAAGTGAGTATATTTAATGGAAAATGTGCAAATGTCAACGACTCAGTTTACGTAACTGTTACATAGTTGGCACCCCTGCCAACCAACGACATTGACAACCGACAAGTAACTGACGGCGACAGCAGACAGTCGACGTGACTTGAAAAAAGAAACATTAAACATACAACATACAACTGCGAAAATATGAAGTACTTTTATTAATGTCAACTATAGAGCCTGCCAATAGGACATTATAACATGGTGACAGCGGTGGCATTCGAACCCACGCCTCCGAAGAGACTGGTGCCAAATGTTCAATCTTGTAAAAATTTAAAAATCATATTTTTCACCTTGTTCAAATGTAATGTAAATTGGGGGAAAAAGGGGAACATGTTACATAGTTAGTTGGCACCCCTGTCAACCAACGACATTGACAACCGACAAGCAACTGACGGTTGACAGCAGACAGTCGAAGCGACTTAAAAAGAGCAACATTAAAAATACAACTGCTGAAGTATAAAGTACTTTTATTAATGTCATCCTCGACTATAAAGCCTGCCAATAAGAGATTATAACATGGTGACAGCGGTGGCATTCGAACCCACGTCTCCGAAGATACTGGTGCCAAATGTTCAATCTTGTAAGAACTTGAAAATCATATTTTTCACCTTGTTCAAATGTAATGTGAATTGGGGGAAAAAGGGGAACATGTTACATAGTTAGTTGACACCCCTGCCAACCAACGACATTGACAACCGACAAGCAACTGACGGTTGACAGCAGACAGTCGACGCGATTTGAAGAAAGCAAAATACAACTGCTAAAGTATAAAGTACTTTTATTAATGTCATCCTCGACTATAAAGCCTGCCAATAAGACATTATAACATGGTGACAGCGGTGGCATTCGAACCCACGTCTCCGAAGATACTGGTGCCAAATGTTCGATCTTGTAAAAATTTAAAAATCATATTTTTCACCTTGTTCAAATGTAATGTAAATTGGGGGACAAAGGGGAACATGTTACATAGTTGGCACCCCTGCCAACCAACGACATTGACAACCGACAAGCAACTGACGGCGACAGCAGACAGTCGACGCAACTTTAAAAAAGCAACATCAAACATACAACTGCAAAAATATAAAGTACTTTTATTAATGTCATCCTCGACTATAAAGCCTGCCAATAAGACATTATAACATGGTGACAGCGGTGGCATTCTAACCCACGCCTTCGAAGAGACTGGTGCCAAATGTTCAATCTTGTAAAAATTTAAAAATTATATTTTTCACCTTGTTCAAATGTAATGTAAATTGGGGGAAAAAGGGGAACATGTTACATAGTTAGTTGACACCCCTGCCAACCAACGACATTGACAACCGACAAGCAACTGACGGTTGACAGCAGACAGTCGAAGCGACTTGAAAAAAGCAACATTAAAAATACAACTGCTAAAGTATAAAGTACTTTTATTAATGTCATCCTCGACTATAAAGCCTGCCAATAAGACATTATAACATGGTGACAGCGGTGGCATTCGAACCCACGCCTCCGAAGAGACTGGTGCCAAATGTTCAATCTTGTAAAAATTTAAAAATCATATTTTTCACCTTGTTCAAATGTAATGTAAATTGGGGGAAAAGGGGGAACATGTTACATAGTTAGTTGGCACCCCTGCCAACCAACGACATTGACAACCGACAAGCAACTGACGGCGACAGCAGACAGTCGACGCGACTTGAAAAAAGCAACATTAAAAATACAACTACAAGTACTTTTATTAATGTCATCCTCGACTATGAAGCCTGCCAATGAAACATTATAACAGTAACTTGTACATTCTTAGTAGACAGTTGACAGTTTCGAAATTGTGCCACTAGAGGCGCGTGCGTGATCTCCCAATCGATTCGTAGGTGGCCGTGGTGATCAAAACGCAAAAGAAACCTACAGTCGCTTCGACGATCTGGTCGCGCGTGCAACGCAAAGGCGGCGACGCATCCGAGGACGGCAGCGAATCGTCTAGCGGCAGCGAAAGCGCCAGCGATTCCGACAGCGAAGCGGCTTCCGAATCGGAACGGTCCGGCAGCAGCAGCTCGAGCGGATCGGAATCGGAGAGCGAGTCGTCTTCTTCTTCCGCGTCTTCCGTCAAGAAGATCGATCGGCCGGGGTTCAGGAGGGGGAATGGGATCGATAGGAGGGACGCTTCCTTGAAGATTACCATGTCGAATGATCGATACAGAAGATGAGGATCGTGTTTTTCGGGATTTTGGTCGTTTTAAGTTGGATTTTTGTATAGGAATGAGTTAATTGATTTGTGTAATAAAGATTCGTGGTGATTCGCCATTTTTGTTCTGTGTGTTTTTCTGTATCCCCACTTGAACAGGTAATTTACAGTAAAACTGGAAGTTGCTTTATGTTTGTTTTGTTTTGACCAGTAAGCTGCACTAGAATGAATGGAATAAACGTGAGATTTGTAGTTTTTTCTTCATAAGTTGTATTAAAGGTTCATTTTTATGAACAATAATAAATATTGCTTGATAATCGGAACTGGTTGACAAAATTTCGAACAATCGCAGATTTTAGAAGTGGTTTTGAATGTTGAAAAATTGACACCAGTTGGTAAAAGATTAGCAAATTTTCGGAGCTGTGATTCCGCCTTAATAAAGAAGCATGCAAGGTGAACAAAATGATATTCGCGATAGAAAATGAGCGTACGCCACCTATCGGAGTTCTTGAAAGCTGTCAAAGTGGCATGTTTACTTTGTTTTCATTGGTTCACATTTGTGTTTTGTTCATGAAGTGTTCAAGTTGTTGACGTCAGGTGGAGCGACGTGTTATTTTCTATCGCGAATGGTGTAATCACAGACAGTGTTATGTTTCTCCTAAAACGCTTGACCGCAGACTCCGCAATAATGGCACATTAGTTCTCAGTTGTCCGCAAGGTAGCGACACTTCACAGGTTTCATTCATAATGAAAAAAAAACGGCGCCTGCACCAGAAATATTAATAACATGACATTCATAACATAACCTCAACTCAAATGAGATTAAATTTGAAAGTACGAAACTAATTTTGGGGAATATTATATCATCAGCACTACCAACCTTGAATTTTGGTTGAGATTTCGCCATGTAACGGGTAAAATGCGACCTATATTCCGTGATATTGAAAAGAATCCTTCTGTCAAGTAGGCCGTAGGTCAAGAACTTCGACCGAAAAACAATATATGGAATTTGATAGGAGTCTCTACACCATCTTCTGTTCATCCTGCACGTGAGAAACACTAATGTGGATGTCAAGTCAGATTCGAACCTTCCGGCAGCAGCAGCTCGAGCGGATCGCAATCAAAGATTAGTAAGTTATTCACCCCTCTTTGTCGGAATCAGAGAGCGAGTCGTCTTCTTCTTCTACCGCGTCTTTCGTTAAAAAGATCGATCGGCCGGGGTTCAGGAGGAAATACCATGTCGAATGATCGATACAGAAGATAAGGATCGTGTTTTTCGGGATTTTTGTCGTTTTAAATTTAATTTTTGTAAAGGAATAAATTCATTGTATATAAATATAATACAAAAAGTGAGCCAGTCTGTTTTGATTTGACCAAGCTTCACTTAGACTGAATGGAATGAGCCTGAGTTATATCGTAGACTTGCCCATCAAGCTTTTTTTTTTCATAAGTTGTATTTAAGGTTAATATTCACGAATAAAACAAAAAATGGTTCGATAACTGAAACTGTTGTACGAAATTTTGATCGGGTTTCTTATTAAGCTTCTTAAATTTTGGAAAATTGACACAGGTGAGAGATTAACTAATTTTCGGAGCTGAGGTTCCGCCTTGAACCATAGGTGAATACGTGAAGCTTCAATGTGGATTCACCTTAAAGATCTCAAAATGTCAAAACAAAACTGTCAATGTCGTTTCGTTTGTCAATCACCAATCTGATGAATTTTTGAAGCCGTCAAAATTAAATGGAATAATTGAGTTTTTTTAATACGCCACAGTGCCACAAATTTCTTATAAATAAGATAAATTAGGCCTATTGGGTTAATCAAGCTTTGGTTTTTGAATATAGAAACTGTACAAAAGGTAAGGTATGAATAAATTTGTCAAAGGTCAATGACTCAGTGCAACTGTGATAAATATACTGTCCCAGACACCCTAGACAGTAGACACACCTATTTTTTATTTTTCAGAGTGAAAACATGGCTAAAAAGCCGACAGTTCAACCGGCTTTGCACAAAGTTATCATGGTAGGAAGTGGAGGTGTTGGAAAATCCGCCCTCACCCTACAGTTCATGTATGATGAATTTGTGGAAGATTATGAACCAACAAAAGCAGATTCCTACAGAAAGAAGATACTGTTGGATGGTGAAGACGTTCAGATTGATATCCTTGATACAGCAGGCCAAGAGGACTATGCTGCAATCAGAGACAATTACTTTAGAAGTGGTGAAGGCTTCTTGTGTATATTTTCCATTACTGAAGATGAAAGTTTTCAAGCTACACAAGAATTCCGGTGAGAAAAACATCAAATAGTGTCCTCACTGTTTTTGCTTGTGGGTTTCTTAACAATACATGCCATAAATAACTTTTGTTATTGTAGGGAACAAATACTCAGGGTTAAAAATGATGAAAACATTCCATTTCTGTTAGTGGGGAATAAAAGTGATCTAGATGAAAGGAGGAAAGTCCCTTTACAAGAAGCTACAGACAGAGCTAAACAGTGGGGAGTCCAATATGTTGAGACTTCTGCAAAAACACGGGAACATGTGGATAAGGTAAGAGTGTTTCATGTGTTTGTAGTGATTGTCTTTCAAAAATCCACAGTGGAATTCATTTTTTCATTTTTATAGTTCACTTTCAACTTTTCAATTATTGAGCAATGAAGTGACTCAACATTTCATCAAAACTGAATGAGAATAGTGAATCATAACTATTATAATTACCAAATTACCACATCATCACAGTTTGACATCAATGAATAGGGTCAACTTTTTCCATATTTTATTGGTTCTTATTATATTAATTATTGCTTTTAATTCACCATAATCAGTACCATTTAAAAACCTATACCTATATTATAGTGTCTTGGAAATATACAGGGTGCTCCTAATAACAATTATTGAATTGTATAACATTTTCCCATTTTCTCAGTTCACTTTCAACTTTTCAATTATTAAGCAATGAAGTGACTCAACATTTCATCAAAACTGAATGAAAATAGTGAAAACCTGTTAATAAGTGAATCAAAACTATTATAATTACCAAATTACCACATCATCACAGTTTGACATCAATGAATAGGGTCAACTTTTTCCATATTTTATTGGTCCTTATTATATTAATTATTGCTCTTAATTCACCATAATCAGTACCATTTAAAAACCTTTACCTATATTATAGTGTCTTGGAAATATACAGGGTGCTCCTAATAACAATTATAGAATTGTATAACAAATAACAGTGGCTTTTTCAAATACATTTTTGGCTCACCCTGTATGTGGAAGAGGCTAAAGACTGTTATTTGCAGGTATTCTATGATCTAATGCGGGAGATTCGGGCTAGAAAAATGGAGGAAAACAAAACAAACAATGGAAGGGGCAAAGATAAAAACAAGAAAAAGAAACGTATATGTAAAATACTCTAATATGTAACTGTGTGAATGTGTTTCAGCTTGTTAATTTGCTTTTTGTGTAAGTTTTTTTAATAGCAAATGGAAATTTTGATATTGTCAATGGATGTATGTTGAATTGATGTTGGTTCTGTTTAGGTAAGCATAAACACAGGAAGTGTTTCATTTGATAGTTATGTCTTGAATGTTGGCACCAGTGAAATTAATATCATTAGTATTATATTATATCCCAAATGTTTTTTTATTGGGGTAAAATCTTGAAACTTGTATCACAGAATCTCATTTCTATTTTTCTCAATTCAACAAACAGTTAATATTTAATCAAACCTGCTTAACCATTTGGTGGGTGAAACTTATTATTTTTTTCTTATTGTATTGGGTGTTCCTATCATTTTATAGCAAAACCTGGACAATTGATTGGGGACTCAATAAAAAAGATTTCTAGTGCTTAATTTCTGATCAACAAAGTGTGAGACTTGATAATGAAAATATTGGAGTTTCATAATGATGCAAATTGTGGTTTTCAAGTAGTCTAGGATATTTTTGTTTGAGATTTAACATCAGTTTATTCTTGTCCAGTCTATTGTAAACTTTGTTGCATTCCATACAGGGGATTTAAGAACCTAACCTAACAATCTGTTGCTTTTGTGCACTGTTTGTGATGTGTAATAGAAGAAATACTGTCAATTCAAAATTGGAATGATATTTTCAGGTTGCTGTTGTTCAAGATGGCTAGGATGTTCATAAAAACAAATTGAAAAATATTCCTATAAATTCAATTGATCAGGTTTCAATTTTAATTGAAAAGCTAGATTTTCACCAAGTATGTTTTTCAATTAATCCAAGTCAGTTCAAACACTCCAGAAATGTTTTCTTAGTATAGCTTTGATACAGTATTGTAAAAATAGGAATACCTACACAAGAAAAATACCATTTTATAAAAAATGATCCTTAATATATTTATACAATTCAGTTATCAACACATAATTGTTTCACTGAAGATTGTGCAGCTATTGCATCGATAGCAAAGCACCTACAACTACAACCACTTACTGGACATTCTTGATGTTCTCTGAAAAATAAAAAACATCGTAGATTCAAATGTTTTGAAAACTAGCCAGAAGAAAATGTTGTTTCCAACGTGTTCAGCGCATCAATTCTACCTAGTATACAAGATATTCTATTTTTTTAATCGATAAAATTAGCGATTCATGTACTGAATCAATAAAACTTTGTTTTGGCGCCCAACGTGGGGCATTAGTTTTTAGGCGCCCAACGTGGGGCATTAGTTTTAAGGCGCCCAACGTAGGGTCATTAGTTCTTAGGCGCCCAACGTGGGGCCTGTAATTTTCGATGTATAATATCGATTCCTCTTTGTAGATAATACTCACTCGAACCATTCGCAAATGTGTCCCGCGTGACCGCCGTGCCTGCACGTTTGACACCAGGAAAACCACTCTTCGAACGGCGTCAATTTGGTACCGGTTTCGCCTGCTGTAATTGTGCCCATGTGTTGCAAACAAATGGCGCATCTCGGCAAAGGTTTTCGACAATTCGGACACGAAGACAACTGCAAAATCATTTAAATCAAAAGATGAACAATTTTTTATAAAAACAACATTTTTAAAGCCCCAAACATGCCAACATATAGTATAGAATGGGGTCATAATTACGAAACTCGTTCGCCATATTGGATCCGCCATCCTGAATTTCCCAATTTTGGCGAATCATAATCTCCGACCCCCGAAACCCCCAGATAATAATTTTAAATTGAATCAGATCATAATTATTACAAAACTCGTCCGCCATATTAGATCCACCGAACCCAATAAACCTGACACCAATTTTGAATTTAATCAGAACATGATCTGCCATTTCGCAGCCGCCATCTCGAATTTCTCAATTTTGATGAAAGATTCATTATTTCTGACCTCGAAAACCCCAAGATACAAATTCTGAATAGAATCAGATCATAATTACAAAACTCATCCGCCATTTTTACTTTCCGATGGATTACTTTCCTACAGAATATAGTTCCTATGGAATAATGTTCTGATAATACGGTTCCGATGGAATACGGCTATGATAAAATACGGTTCCGATGCAATACGGTTATGATAAAATATGGTTCCGATGGAATACGGTTATGATGGAATACGGTTATGATAAAATACGGTTTCGATGGAATACGGTTCTGATGAAATACGTTTCCGATGGAATACGGTTCTGATAAAATACGTTTCCGATGGAATGCTGTTGCGATGTACCTTTATTTTTCCGGAGGCCGACTTGTGCAGCAGCTGTCTGTTCCGGTCCTGCCCGGAAAGGAAAGCTGAAATGCTTTTCCCGCAAAAATTGCATGACACGTACACCTGTTGCGGAGGCTTTTCGGAAGGCTTGAACGAGGCTAGCATTATGTCGAAGTCGGCCCGTTCGTGAAACATTCGCCAAATGTTCAACAAATCCCTGTAACTGAAAAAAACAGGAGATTTCTCCAACATCTCATTTTATTTTATAAGAGATGGAATGTCATTCTTCTGTACCCCTTCATTGAGCGAGTGTAGACAATAGACATATTTGAAACCCTAACAGTGGCGTAACACCATAGGCACATGAAGCTCATTTTGTTAATGCCACGGTAATAAGAGGATTCTCTTTGAATATTCCTATCTTGACTAGATGAAACAAGGATTTAAAGATGAAGGTGACAGACGATATTGACGTTAGGATGTCAGGTTGACAATGTAGTTAGTCTTCTTCTTCTCTTCTTGTATTTCTGGGAACTCTAGGCATTACGCTGTTGCCAGTGCCACAAAATAATTTGGGTTCAAATAAAATCTCTCAATATTAGGAATACTAGGAAATTCTGCAAAACGCCAAGGATATTTTATTTGATGGAATTAGACTAACTTGGCTATCCAGTTTTTCACCAGCTGTGTTCCTAAATATTGGTGGAAAGCTCTAGTCGCAATCAGAGTCGTTGATTGAATATCCGCCGTGTTATCCAGATATTTTTGCAATAGTTTCAGTCCTTCGGCACTGTTACCTAAGAAAAACGTCCAGGAAAGTTTTCGAGAGGTAATAAACAGGGTGGTTCAGTATTTCATTGGAAAGATTACTTTTATATCACTGATGAAAACACCCTGTAATTCGTTTTTTACCTGTTACTAGCAGTCCGTCCAGATTTCCTTCACTGCACAATTCGTCCAATAATTTGTTCAAATATTCTGGTAACTTATCGTCAGGTAGATACAGGGAGGCCAAAGCTACTCTATCGTCGACAGCTATACCTTTTTCGTTCTAAAAACAGTAAGTATCGAAATGGGTTGGTTTTTCCGTCATTATAAGATGTTTATGTATCCAAACTTCAAGGACTTAGGCATATTTTTCAAGATATAAGTAGTTTTTCACAATAGTTTGGCGTACGAATCGTGTTCTTTGAGTTATTCATCAATTCAAGCATGCTTTCTCATTGTGCTGTTGTACAATACACAAAAAATGCAGCGAGAGACGAAGGAATATGATTTTCCAGGTAAATAGTAATCTCACATAGTTTTCATTATAAAATTTTGTCATTTCTTATTAAAATTCCTTCTGCCACTTCTGCAATAGAATCCAATAGTGCTAATAGATTGAAAATGTCTACAACACACACGATCATATTTCGTCAGCATGTCAGACTAGTCCTCCCGTTTGATTGCATGAATCCAATCTCCTTGCAGTATTTTGGAAATTTCACGAGTATTTTTATTAGCTCCTATTGCAGAAAGAATTCCGATGAGAAATCAGAGAAATTACCAAATTTCAAAAATGAAAACTATATGTGAGTGACTATAGTAGGTACTTACATTTAAATCGTAATGTACCAACCGGATTCCTTCGTCTCCCGCTGCATTTTTCGTGCATTGTACAACAGCATAATGTGATGGCATGCGCGAATTAATGAATAGCCGAAAAACACGATTCTTATGCCAAAATAATTGAGAAGTTTCCTTCAGATGAATTTGCATAAAATGAGTTCGAAACTCTCCAGTTTCAAGTCTACGCTGTACAGAATGGCGACCGATTAAGTCCAAGTCGTTTTCATTTTTAAATTGAAACAATTTCTAATTTTCAAGAACATACATAACCACAAATGCGCTCGGAGCAGGAATGCAAAAGGTAGTTGGCTTCATTCTGACAGGTTATGGTTTTGTTATTTATGCATTGAAATATCTCGAATAGAGCTCGATCCTAAACGAATTTATCATTGGATCAATGAATCACTATCGGCTACATTCAATAATATACTATCCTTCCTAATTTACTGCCATCGGTTAGAACAGAATGAAGCCGACACTCATGGCTCCTTCCTCTTGTTGTGCCTGTCAGTATTTCGAGTGGTGTGGACGGACTGGAAGTATTGGGCGCTGTTGCATGATATAATCTGCGACTTTCCAGAAAATAAATTCGTTTCATTAAGGTATTCATAAGCAGAAAAATGACTGACAAGTTGTAAAATTCTATTTCAATCCTTCGTAAACAAATGAGAAAAGTGAGGTTGTGTATTAATGTTTCACCTCCAGGGTCAGTCATCTGTCAGTTCTTGCACGCAACCCATACTGTTTAAATTTCTTGAACACTGGCCTAGGAAAAATCAACTCACCAATGCGTCGTGATAATTGGAATCGGTGGCGGTGAGAAAGCTGAACATGGCCTTCAAATAGGGATCGCTCAGTTTGTTGATGCAGGCCAAACAATTTTGGCGCCACATGCTGTTCGGTTCGTCGGAAAAGCCCGATAACGCCATCGCTACTACGTTCAAATTCGAGCCGTACTCGGTGTCGGTGGGGGCTCTGCCCAAAATTTCGATCGCCAATTGGACCTTTGAAAATCGAAGGAAAAAAAAAACACTCAACAAAAAATATGGCCACAAAGAAAATTATCTAAAATTGATCGCCCCGTAACTTTTTTACTTCTTGCCCGATTTTGGTAAAGTCGCGACCAAATCGTTGATTCCTGTTTCGAAATGTTTGATTGTAATTCATGTCCCAAGAAAAACCGATGTCTTGAACGTTATACAGGAAAAAAGTATGTGAACATTATGAGATTACCGTAAGCCGCATAGGCATCAAACAATAACCAGTACTTTTCGAATTATCTTTAAAACAAATGATTTAATCGAAATTTTACAAGAAACAAAAAATACTCAAAAATGATTGAACACTTGAAGGAAAATAGATAGGAAGTCATTAGCGCACGTACAAAATAAATATGGGGGTAAGTGTGTACTTGACCCCCAGTATTTTGAATATTTGACAGTTATTTTCTGTTATGTTTTCCTCTCACGATGTAACTCTTTGTGCTGAAGTAATGTACCAATTCTGAGATTAATGTCTTATCAAATACGCGAGTAATTAAAAACAGTTTTTAATTTCCAACTTTGACACCCTGTATATCGAATATAAAGGGATAACATGAAAAATGGTATTTAGAAACTCATATTGTTTTTGTTCAAGGAATATGTGGTTAATGGATTGACCTCCTTTTAGCGGACACCCTGTATATTATAACTTGGGAAACCCTATAGTGGTGAGTCAATAGTGATAAATAAAAATACCCAAACATTCTTGCTTCATTGGATTGGGGATTTTCCGATTTTTTTCGAAAAATAAAAAATCAAATTTTTTTAAACTTTTTGTGATTTCTTCTCGTCGTCACCAAAAATGTTCCTACCTTAAGATTGAAAACTGCAATGGCAGCAGCTCTCGTATATGCTCCCGCCTTTTCTAAGTGTTCAATAAAATCAGCAAGGAACTGAGAGTCTCTTTCCAGTGGCCAGCTACATAACTGTAGCGCCCTGTCTCTGTCTTCGTGTCTGCAAAAAAAACAATGAATACAAAAAAAATCCGATCAATATTACGTCCACACTTTCTCAATGAATAATTTATTTCTCGAAAAATCGACCACATCAAAGTTTACCTGTAATATTTAGCTGAACTTTGGCAATTGGGATATCCCAAATCGCTCCAAGCCACTGTCAAAACCTCGGATTTTTTCACGTTTCCGTCGATGTTATACAAAACGGAAATCACTCCGGGATGCCTCATTTCGCTCTCTTTGATGATACACTCCTCCACCAATCTTTCCGTCAATCTCAACCAATTCCAAACGTTCGCCAGCGACAGATTGTTCCTCACGATTTCCCCATTTTTAGTGTATTCTTCCTAGAATTATCATAGAGAGGTTTGCAATACCGTTCTCCCTAATTTTTGTACTCCACTATAGCGAATTATCTATCCTTAACAAGCCATATCACATTTATTTCAGAATATACAGTGACCCGTTTGAAATCGTACCACCCTCAAAAATCTTTTTTTCTGTGACGGGAAAAAAGTTTGGCATTTCATCTCTGTTGGCAGGTTATAAAATGTCACTTTTCATAAATTACTTTTTTCCCGTGGGAATAAGTAGTAGTAGTATAAGAGTACTTTCTTCCCGGATATATATCACATATATATATACACTGTTGATGGCTTTTGTTGTGCTATAGTTCCGAAATATGAGTCAATAATACCGTCTCCGAGAAAGAACTGCAAGTCCTTTTATCTTCCATTCGACTTCGCGATTACGTATATTACTAAACAACCACTAAATTCGCAATTTTTTTAAATCAAATCACAGAATCAGACTGACAGAAGTGACATCTGATATTTGATTACTTCAAAAGAATGATAATGATACCTACAACGCAGGTTCCCTACTGTTAAAAACTTAAATTTTCTAATCGATAATTTTCAGATTCCAAAATAATGTAATATCTTCTCAATATTGATTCGTCCTTTCTTCTGTCACAGAAAAAAATAGTGCATTATACACGGGAAAAATATTAGATTTTAGCTCACGGTTTGTTGTCTCCCTCCGCTACGCTAACCTAACTATTATTATACAAGGGAAAAAAGTAGTAGATTTTAGCTCCAGGTTGTGTTGTCTCCCGACGCGTAGCGGAGGGAGACAACAAACCGTGAGCTAAAATCTAATATTTTTCCCGTGTATAATACACTATTTTTTTCTGTGACAGAAGGAAGGACGAATCAATATTGAGAAGATATTACATTATTTCGAAATCTGAAAATTATCGACGTGAAATTTCAAGTTTTTAACAGTAGGGACACCTGCGTTTTATAGACATCTTTATCATTCTTTTGAAGTAATCAAATATCTCATGTCACTTCTGTCAGTTCAATTCTGTGATTCGATTTTGAAAAATTGCGAATTCAGTAGTTGTTTAGTAATATACGAAACCGCGAAGTCGAATGGAAGATGAAAGGACTTGCAATTCTTTCTCGGAGACGGTATTATTGACTCATATTTCGGAACTATAGCACAACAAAAGCCATTAACAGAGTATATATATGTGATATATATCCGGGAAAGAAGTACTCACTTTTTTCCCACGGGAAAAAAGTAATTTATGAAAAGTGACATTTTATAACCTGCCAACAGAGATGAAATGCCAAACTTTTTTCCCGTCACAGAATAAATAACTATTATTTATGTAGTGATTTTGACGACCTTTTTTTCAAAATGTGGAAGGGTGAAAGGTGGATTCAGCAGCCAGTGTCAAGTTAAAAAAAACCTTCTAGATCACATTCAGAGGCTGTAAAATCCAGAATCTATATTAGCAGAATTGACGTCCTCGGCAATAGATCTGTATTACCAAGTTTCATGAAAAAATATTCATCATTAACAATTCTATTTAACTATACTGTTTATTTATTATACAGCGGAGGGAGACAAAAAACCCTGAGCTAAAATCTAATATTTTTCCCGTGTATAATACACTATTTTTTTCTGTCACAGAAGAAAGGACGAATCAATATTGAGAAGATATTACATTATTTTGAAATCTGAAACTTATCGACGTGAAATTTTAAGTTTTTAACAGTAGGGACACCTGCGTTGTAGGCATCATTATAATTTCTTTGAAGTAATCAAATATCTGATGTCACTTCTGTCAGTGTAATTCTGTGATTTGATTTCAAGAAATTACAAATTTAGTGGTTGTTTAGAAATATACGTAACCGCGAAGTCGAATGGAAGATAAAAGGACTTGCAGTTCTTTCTCGGAGACGGTATTATTGACTCATTTTTCGGAACTATAGCACAACAAAAGCCATCAACAGTGTATATATATGTGATATATACCCGGTAAAAAAGTACTCACTTTTTTCCCACGGAAAAAAGTAATTTTGAAAAGTGACATTTTATAACCTGCCAACAGAGATGAAATGCCAAACTTTTTTCCCGTCACAGAAAAAATGATTTTTTTCTCATGTAAAACAGTACCTGCAAGCCATATCGAGCTCTGGCTCTCGCTTTGATCTCATGAGCAATGTCTCCAATAACGGATTCCTCAATGTACCTGAGTGTTTTGCGTCCCTGAGACCAAACTAAGCCGGTCGTCGCTGCACCGTTAATCGTTATTCTATCGAAAACTGTGTAATCTTTAATCGTGCCTAAAATCCAAATAAAACTCATGGACTTCAACTTGAGACATGAAGATCTTCCTCCATTCATTTTTCCAGATTGAATATCAGTTTTGTTTTCAAATAATCAGCGTTTCCAGAATTTGAGCGGTAAAATAAATGGGTAATAAAAGACGAAATAAATGGTAGTTTAAAATACTGAAAAAACATGCTTTTATACAGGGTGACATAGAAAAAAGTACATTGCATAGTGCCACACAATAGAGGACACTAAAATAAGGAAAAAAGTTCCTATGAACATGAGTCCGCAAGGCCTCCGGTTAAAAGATACGGGGTGTTGAATTTTAATGGAAAAATGTATTGAAGTACAAGAGCAATAGTTTGAACATCTTCTAAAAACTTAATGTTTTGTTCTAATTAATCATATTTTTCATCATACCATTGAAATGTAATTGTTGAAGTATTTATCATTGTTTTTGCAAAAGTTACTTTGGCGCTTTCTGAATAATTTGAGTGCATTGTCGGCTTTTACCCAGCGAGCACAAACATCCCTGGGATGTTTTGGGATGTTTTGAAAATGTTGGCATGAAGATGTTATTTCGAGACGTAATATGCACTGACCAAAGAGGTCTTTGAAGGATATTGAAGTATTGTTTTTGTTCTTCTGTGGCATTTCTTTGTATGCCTACTGAGAGGTATCCCTGGGATGTTTTGGGATGTTTTAGAAATGTAGGCATGAGGATGTTTTTTTGAGGCGTAATTTGCACTTCCCAAAGAGAGGTCTTAGAAGGATATTGAAAGTATGGTTTTTTGTTCTTTTATGCCCTTTCTTTGTTTGCTTCACCACAACGTCTCATGCTTACGTCACAATACGATGAATTCTGATTTGTTTTCGATTTTGTTCGTCTTGTTCGCAATTGGCATTCGCGTTTGCAGCGTTTCACGCTTATATCACGCTGCTAACGAACAGAAAGGAATTTGGTGAAGTTTATTGTGTTAGAAGACTTATTTAGTTTGTAATAATGACCATCAGATGCAAGATGTGTTGTTCGGTGCCTCAGTGTAATCAATATATAAAAGTACGAATTCATCAATACACAGAGCTTCTCCGCAGTTGCAAAATTATGCATTGTGGAGAACATTTCAAAAATTGGGAAACCTCTTTCCAATTATATGTCTGTGTGTAGTAAGCACTACTCAGAAACCGATTAAGAAGGTAATTTCATATCAAGAAAATATTTTTATGTTCAATCTATTTTCGATGCATTTTTTCATTCAAGGGAAATGGAATCCTAATGCAAAAGTTCATTTTGACAAAAGGCTTCAGAAAAGTACCTCGAAAATGGTTTTTTTACAGCGATTTAATGTGCGCAAGACGCGTTGAAAATGTTTTGTTGTGTCCATGAAAAGGCTTTAAAAAGAACTAGGGAGAAGGTAGTTTTACATATCAAGGACATCTCGATAATTGGCTGTTCTATAATAGTTCTATTCATGTGTGAACAGAACATCGCAGTGGAGGTTCAATGTCTCGAAATCTCGTACTTTTAACATCTCTGAGATGTTTTTGTGCTCGCTGGGTCGTTTTTTAAAGACTCGCACCGCTCTGCTGCGCTCCTGCCTTAGTTCAAAAGTTCAAAAAGGACGTTTATAACACTTTGTTATACATGATATACTATTAAAAAGCAGGTTTCATTCAACTTTTTTACCTGAAACAGCTATCGTGAGTAGCCTATTTTCGTCTGTGGAATGCCAGGCGAAGGAGGTTATGTTATGAGGAGATCCAGGAGTGATAATCCTCTCCATAACATTCGGTTCGAGTTCCTCGTTGCTTATTACCGTCTGTTTTATCTCGAACAAATTTATAACTGAGCTGTCCCTTTGTAGGGCAGCCAATGAACTAAACCTGAATGAGAAAAAAAAATCCACCAAATAACCAATATTCAGCAAAAGTTACAGCAAGAAATGTTTGGTTTGTAAAAATTCATTTATAGTTATTTAACCAACTAGTGTATTAATCGCCTTTTAATTTACAAGTTGGTTACAAAATTTTTCCGTCGACTATATTTCTCATTTCTCCTGCAATGAAGAAAACTTGGTTCGCGAATTCATCATTCATCCAGAAACTGCTAAGAATCACCCAGTAGCCTTGTTACTGACATTAGTGACATTTGACATTTGTCGAAATGATCAACATAGAAAATAAATTCCTTGTGTTAGAAAACAGAGATTAAAATCGTGTCAGAAACTTGGAAAGGCGAACCCGTTAACGGAAAATCTTTGATGAAATCCATATTTTCGATTTAAATGCAGATTCCGTAAGTTATAGCATAAACAATGAATGCACGCGGTGTATGTTTAGTTGCCTATAAAACAATCGTGCATTAATAGACAAATCGTTCATTAATAGCTAGGGGTCATTAATGAACGATTTCATATACATTAAACTTAGTCGTTAATACGAGGTCAACGGAAAATATTATGTTTATCAAACTGAAAAATGGAATGGCATTATGGAATCATAAACATCTGAGCGTCCATAGGCGGAAAACTAACTTTTCTAAAAGTCGCTTTATAGTTTTCAATTTTTCATTACAAGCAAATTGATTGCTGCAGATCATAATTATTTACGGCAATAAAAATAATCGTAATGACCGGCTTGCTATACGACGCGTGTCTGAACTGCCATCCTAAAAATACTTTTTTTACGAACATTTGCCTAATTTACACTGGCAACTGTAAATTTGAACTAAACTGCTCAACACATGAAACGTGAAATCGCATTTTTTCGATCAAATTTGGATCATCATAACTTTCGATTTCCTCAACCGATTTTCAATTATTTTTCAGTTTCTGAAAGCTCGTTTCATTGACTATCGAACCTATGGATATGACTATTCCAACTTTTCCAGATGAGATTCTACAGGATGATAATCAAAGCTTTCCAAAAATTTCAAACGCCTCCCGTTAAAAAAAAAAAAAATTCTCAATTTTTTTTTGGGATCAAAAACATATTGCTCCATATGTTTTCTCGATACTGTGAAATTTTTTTTGGAATTGTCACACGTGTTACTGAAATATGAATGTTTTACTAAGATGATGCATAATTTGATGCTTTAATTTCTATGGCTTTGTGTTCCTGTCAATCTGGTTCGAACGGTGGTCAAAAAAATCTCGAAATGATGCATGATCAACCTATTCTTCTATACAGGGTGGTCCTCAAACAACAATTATGACAGCAAAAGTAATAAAAAATATCTTGTTTTGACGAGCAAGAAAATTCCGAAGCTGGAAACCGATTGAGAAGTTTTCTGGCGATCAAAGCGTGTAGGAGAGGTTGTCATCACCATGTCAAGTTGCTACAGAATCTATTGCAAGATCAAACCACTTGAATCGTTAGAAAAACCGGATTTTCAGAGCATCGTTCTCACTTTGTGATAGATTTTTGGAAGATGATTTCTCAAGGCAAATGAGATGATAGGCAAAAAAAAAATAGAGAAATTTTTCTTTCAAACGGGAGGCGTTTGAAATTTTTGGAAAAATGCACAGCTTTGATCATCATCCTGTAGAATCTCATCCGGAAAAAATGAAATAGTCATATCCATAGGTTCGATAGTCAATGAAACGAGCTTTCAGAAACTGAAACATGATTGAAAATCGGTTGAGGAAATCGTAAGTTATGATGATTCAAATTTGATCGAAAAAATGCGATTTTACGTTTCATGTGTTGAGCAGTTTAGATAACTTTTTTTTTCTGCACATCTCCTAATTTACAGTTGCAACTGTGAATTAAGCAGAGAAAACTTTTTCTTCAAACCACCTCCTAATTTACAGTTGCAACTGAAGATTAGGAGATATTTAAAAACAAAGTTTTCTCTGTTCCTGAAAAAAAAAGGTTTTTTAGGATAGCAGTTCAGACGCTTTGTAGCTTGCGATGTCTTTTTCTCAAAAAAAATCTGTGTTTTACTTCCTATTGGGTTAGAAGAAACCATGAGAACAATAACAATCAATATATGCATAATATGATGTAGAAATAATGCATGAAATATCGAAAATCCATCATTTGATCATTTATAATAATGACAGTTTTTTTGTTGAAGTAAACTTGACATTTCAATGAGAATTTAGATGCCTGGCAATTATAGGAAATAAAAATGCTGTCTAAAATGAAAACTGCTGCAACTTTTTCAGAAATTTTATGCAATAGCTCTAATGAGGAAGATTCTAAATAAGTTATAAGTTGCATAAAGGCCTTTATTTACCTTTCAAGTGAAATAATTCAAAAAAGTCCAAATTAATTCAAAAAGTCGGACTTTTATGATTTTTTTATAGATCATGACTTATTCCAACCCTGAATCCAGGTAAATAATCCAGTATTTTTTTTATCAGGCTATGATAACCAAAGGATTTTTCAATACCAATCAATCCTCTGAAGTCATCATTTTACCTTCAGATTTTCAAGTGGAACACCCTGTATTTTTGACATTTCTTAGATTCAGGTGGATGTTTTACAAACAGTAGCATCTTTTTTGGAAACATCAAAATGAAATATAAATTAATATAAGTAATGGTGTTGACACAAAATTATAATTTTATGTCTGAAATGATCTTCCTGATCCATGGACTTGTGAAAATACAAGGTGTTTCATTTGACAGTTTCAATAAACAAATGTGAAAATGTGTATTTTTCCAGATAATCAGATATCCCTGAAGAAAACTGTTATCATAATTGAATTCATTTATATTTTCCTTCATCTACACACTGAAATATATTCTTACTTTGTGGGACACCATCCAATTTTAATTAAAGGCTTATTCAGAGGTAATACCACAGCAGGTTTTTCAAAATTTCTCATGTCCCAAAGACTAATTTGGTTATCATAAAAAGAAGCCAAATACTTGTCATCATTGGGATTAGTGCAAACACCATAGACAGCTTTGGTTATAGTTGAATTAACCATTTTGTTTGAATCTGAAATCAAAAAGTGCTCCTAGGAAATCATTTTTCTAATTCTGATAGCTGAGCAAAAATAAGCAATGCAAGTTATTTGACTGTGAATGTTGCTTTCCATTATTTCAATATACTATCCTAAGTAGGTATTTATATTTTACTGCACTGTCATTACTAATTTGAAAAATCAGGGGGAAATAATTGCCAACCTCTCAAATCAAATATTTTAATATTTTTGCCATTCATCCCAGCAGCAAGAAGTCTATTGGACCCATGGAACCAGGACACTCCGTATGTGGCCTCTGAAGTGCCAAATTCAATAATGGGTTTCACCAGCTCTACTGCAGGAGCCATGGTATTGACAGCCATTCTCCCAGTACTATTGCACTCTCCATTTGAAGTGAATTTATCAATGTCCCATATAAGAATTGAGCTGTCTGATCTATATTTTTCCAAACCAGCTGCTATCAGGTTGTGATCCACTGGATTAAATAGGACTGCATTGCAGTGTCTACTATGCTTGGGTACTAAAATAAATATGCAATTCCTTTTGTTGTTCAACAATAATTATTGAATTAGTATCCAGTGGAGTTCAAACCTAGTTCTTTTCCTGGGAACCCATGAATATCATGTTCAGAAGGTCCAAATGTTGTCAATGATACTCTGCCATTTGAGAGACCAATGGCTAGAAGCAAGTCAGTTTCACATTTTGGATAAATATCAATGCTTCTAACATAATGGTGGTTTGTATTTGTAGTCAGCAGTTGAGCACAATGAGTGTCAGATACCCTAAAAACTGAAGGGAATTCAATCATATTGCATGAATTCTGGTCTAGGAAAAACTCACATGAAGATGAATTATCATTAGTAACCGGTTGGATCTGGTGAAGACAAATTTCAGTGCCCCAAGTTATGAATTTGTTAGGAATCGGAGACCATTGTATTTCTAATTTTCCTGACATACTGAGAACGAAGTGAAGAGAAAATACAAGATTTTCATATGCGTTCACTTCTTCATATTTATATTCCAAAATAAACAAACACAGAAATACCACTTGTTATTGTTTACATTTTTAACTTCAGAATTTTTGTAGGTTAAAAGTAAAAAAATGTGACAAACGTTCTGCGATTAGCACAGAGGACTGACGGATCGTAGCCATCAGCGGCCATTAGCAAATCCTGCTTAATCGTGTGCCAATCACAGACAAATGTCAACGTCAATCATCCGATTTTACGAGTGACACTAGTGACAGCCAGTGACGGGTGAAAAAAAAAATAAAGAAAATTCATCCCTATTTCACATCAAAAACTCAGTAAACTTTCAACAAAATGATATAAAATAAAGCGACATTTTCCAACAGTATTCACAAACCTTCATCATTCTTGTTCACCAAATTGTTGGTTATGATATCATCATAAAGGGTCATGATGAATACAAACGTTAATCAAGTACCAGAGACTTCTGATGGGTCAGAGCAAAAATACAATACTGTGCCAGTACAAACTAAGGATTCCTCGAGATATTGTTGGGTGTGTTTTGCAACAGATGAGGAAGATAGAGAAGCAGCTTGGGTACAGCCTTGCAACTGCAGAGGCACTACAAAATGGGTAAGTGGAGGAAGCTTAGCATTCTTTGAGTTGTTGTGAAACTGAACCTGTTTCATGAAGGTTCATCAGAGCTGTTTGCAAAGATGGGTGGATGAAAAACAAAAAGGAAGTAACATAGGGAAAGTTACATGTCCTCAGTGTCAGACAGAGTACATCATAGTGTTTCCAAACATGGGTGTTCTGGTGCTTGTTTTGGACACAATGGACAGCTTCATTTACAAGGGATGTCCATTCCTAGCTGCTGGAATTGTTGTAGGAGCCATCTACTGGTGTGCTGTGACATATGGAGCAATCACTGTTATGCAGGTGGGGTGTATTTTTCTCACTTGTGACTATTCAAGAAAATCTTGTTTGTTGTAGGTTATTGGGCAGAAAGAAGGTCTTATGATAATGGAGCAATCAGACCCTTTGGTTCTACTCATAGGCCTTCCTGCTATACCAGTAGCATTAGTTTTAGGCAAAATGATTCGCTGGGAAGATGCTCTGCTGAATTTCATGAGGAAAAATTTCTCAAAAATTCCTGGCCTGAGAAATATGCTGCCTTACAGGTGAATAAAAAAAAAACACCAAGTAGTATAATTATCTTATAGTGTCCATTCTTGTAGGGCTGATGTTGGTACTACTACTGAATCATCAAGTGAGAATGATTTGCCACCTCTAGCTAATCCTGTATCTGCTACAAGGGTACTGTGTGGGGCACTTCTGATGCCCACCATTGCCAACATGTTTGGCAAATTTTTTTATGACTCTGTGAAATCAAACTTTCACAAAACAGTCTTGGGGGGATTGACTTTCATTGCAATCAAGGGATGTTTGAGGATTTACCACAAACAACAGCAGTACATAAGGCAGTGCCAGAGAAAAATTCTTGACTATACAGAATCTAATATTTCTACTTATCTACATAATAGGCAAAATTGATTTATTTTCTCATTGGAATATATTACTGAATAAAGCATAACTAAAGATTATCTTCTGAAAATTGTGCATGTACAGTTTTGTACAGCTATTAGATTGATATTGTTAATGGTAGTTATTAAAATTATTCCCAATTTTGTTATTTTATTTTTTCAATAAAATTTTTGGACATGTAAAGTATGATTTATTGAATTTTCATTCATAAGTTGATAACAAAGGAACAAGATGAAAATTTGCACTGAAAAAATGTACCTACTACCAATATATTTTTATTCAACAAAGTGAATTGAGATTCCAACAAGCTGTGGATGTTTCAAATCAATGATATTTCAAGATGGAGCTCACTGAATATGAAATAGTTATTTTCCGTCGACCTTGTATTAACGACTAAGTTTAATGTATATGAAATCGTTCATTAATGACCCCTATTAATGAACGATTTGTCTGTTTGCACGATTGTTTTATAGGCAACCAAACATACACCGCATACATTCATTGATGTTGTTTATGCTATAACTCACGGAATCTGCATTTAAATCGAAAATATGGATTTCATCTACGATTTTCCGTTAACGGGTTCGCCTTTCCAAGTTTCTGACACGATTTTAATCCCTGTTTTCTAACACAAGGAATTTATTTCCTATGTCAGTAGCCTTGTCACTGACATTAGTGACATTTCACATTTGTCGAAATGATCAACATAGGAAATGAATTCCTTTTGTTAGAAAACAGGGATTAAAATCGTGTCAGGAAAGGCGAACCTGTTAACAGAAATTCTTTGATGAAATCCATATTTTCGATTTAAATGCAGATTCCATGAGTCATAGCATAAACAATGAATGCACGCGGTGTATGTTTGGTTGCCTATAAAACAATCGTGCATTAATAGACAAATCGTTCATTAATAGGGGTCATTAATGAACGATTTCATATACATTAAACTTAGTTGTTGATATGAGGTCGATGGAAAAATATATTAAAGGTAGTTGAATGTGTATTTCAAAAAATCAGGAATGTGACAGAAGCCAACAGAAAATCATCTATATTACATTACAAAATATATGAAGCCTGCTCATAAATCTACATAGTAATGCTCATATAGAGTAAAATTCTAGACTAGTACAAAATCCTCTGAGGATCATTGAACATTTGGATTCTCACTGGGTAATTATATTACAAACTAATTGAAAAAAAAAACAATCAAAAATGTAAATCTGGTCCAGTGTAGGGGTAAGAATCAGTCCAGTACCATGATGGTGACCTGATCTCTTGCAATCTGAATACATTAGGCATAATATTACTCAACACAGCATAATAAGAACACAATCTGGGCCCATTATTGGGAATATTGGTGTTATAAGGGGGAGCCAAGATATCAAGAAAGGCTGCAGGACCATCAATGCTCTGAATTTCATGTATATTCCTATTTCCTGGGTCCAGCAAACAAGGTTTACTGTTGGAATCCACAATTTCACTGGAAATTAACTCTGCAGTTACTATTTTCCTACGTCTGAAGTCTATTGGCGGCACTATAGCGTCTTTGAAACTTCTCCTTTCCAACTCCATGGTTCTGGCAGTGTTCAAGGAGTAGCTGGTTATCTTTATCTTACCAGATATAACTTTTATCAGTCCATACATTTCTGGGTGGTTATGAAGAGGTAATTGTCCGTCTGGTTTCAGAATGAAAATGTTCATTGTCAGGTTAGAATCCTCGTAGATGTCGATGAACGTTACTGGAGCCCGCTCTGGATTATCCCATTCCGATTTTTTCGTAAACCTCGGATCGAAATTCACGTCTTCGGCTGTAGTTTTATCTAATATTGAAGATAAACTACTCAAATTGAAAGCAAAAAGCTCAGATTTACATGTAAAAGTGGTGATAGCTTGCTGGAGAACTTTGTGTATATGGCTAGTCATGTTTATATTTCAAATAGAGCAAATTGTCATCACTTTCAGGCTTACATTTGCTATGAGGACGAGTCAAACTAAATTTATTTGTAGCATCATTTTTCCATGAATAATGAATTCATGATTACTCTTCACTAGCTCACTCCGGAGGTTGAAGACTACAAAACACAGACCTACAAAATCCAAAAACTTTTACCAAGAAGTCAAGAAGGAAAATGACAAGAAAGTTTCCTGTAATTTTTGATGGTTAGATAGTCTCTTCTTCTTTTTATATTTTTTCGAGGACAATACCAACATTACTACTAACCAGTGACTACATGGATCGCTAGTTCTATGACTAAAAAAAGAAGCAGAAAATACCGGCTGTAGCCTAGACTGCCTAGGACACCCGGTGATTAGACCACAGAATATGTTTTTTATTGTCCCGTGACAAATTAAAGAAATTCAAATCCATCAAATCAAACTATTTTCAACTCAAATATTTCCTGATATTCCAGATGATGGAGAGAGGAACAAACACAAATAGAGTTTATTCTATTCCAAAGTATCTTCACAAACGGAAAATAGACATTATTCGCTGTAAAATAATAAAGCGGAAATTTGCTTATCTATTTTACAGAAAAACTGTTTCCCAAATTCTGCCTTCCCAAGCAACACATCATTACAGCTCCAACCTGAAAAGGAATCTTCTTAAAAGGTGGGTGTCTTATTGGTATGAGGAAAAAGTGGGATGGAAATTGGCCCTAAGAGCCGAGATTCATTATAATTTGACATTAACACACAGTGCCCTAAAGAGAATGATTTTTTTCGTTGTGCGCCAAAAAGCAAAATTACTAAAAGAGAAAATTGCTGATGCGCATTTTGATAAAAACCAAACGAGACAACTTCTTCATTTAGTTTTTGGCAAATGGAAATGGTTTGTGGAGTACAAAAACTATAGGAAATCCAGGAAGAAATTGTCTCGTGAATTTTTCAAAGCAAAATATGATCCAAAGATTTTACAAACGTTTATCGAGAAGTGGAGAGTATACACAATAATTTCTAAACGGGAGAAGAAGAGATTACAAGATGCAAATGATAGTTATAATGGTAAATTATTATTCAAAACTTTCAATGAGCTGAAAAGGTATGCTAATAATAAAAAATCTAAGAGAATGATCAACAAGAAAGTTCAAAAGGTTTTCGAAAATAAGTTGTTGCAAAAAATAATCAACCTTTGGAAAATATTTGCAAATGAGAGCTTGAATGAAAAATACTATATTTTTTTAGCAGAAAGGCAATATGATTTTATTTTAAAAAGGGCTGTATTAAGACAGATTTTGTACAACAAAATAATAAATCAAGAAATCAAGGCAAAAGTGTCTGCATTCAAAAACAGGCAAGACCTTAGAATGAAAAGGTATTATTTCAATATGTTAGTGATTCATCACATGGATAGGAAAATCCAATTGCAAAAAGCTGAAATAGCCAAAAAACATTCCAACAATAAACTGGAAATATCCGTTCTGAATTGTTGGAAAGCATACCATGAACATTGCCTGAATGAAAAACAAAAAATAGCAAGTCTACTGAATGATTTCCACTATCACCTGACTAGGAAGAAAATGAAAAGTATTTTGCAAGTCTGGACTAGATTTACTGAGCACCAGAAAAACAAAAAGTACAAAATTATTATAGCCCAGTCATTCTCGATAAAAATTCTCTCCCGCCAATTCTTCAAAAACTGGCAACAATTCCTGGTTTACAAGCAATTGAAAAAATCTAGGATGAAAAGCGCGGAAAATTTCCACCTTGTTAAATATTTGACTAAATGGAGATCAGTAACTGAGCAAGAGCTGAAATTCAAAGCAAATCTACGAAAAGCAAAGGAATTCTACAAAAACAGATTGCTAAAAGAAGGAGTCAAGTTGATAGCAAGGTCAGGCATCAAAATGAAAGAAGAAAACTTCCAGAACTCTAAAGCAAAACTCGCACAACGTTTATTCTTGGCGCAAAAATACTATTTCAAGTGGAAACAAAAGGTATTTTTCGAATTAACGGGGAACTCTGCAGGAGTAAGTCAGATGGTGGAGCTTTCAGAGGAAAATAAAGACAACAAGACACAGTTTGCAAACTTTGATTGGTACCCAATTTGCTTCATAGCACCAATAATTTCTAATAAGTAGTTTCAAAAAATAGCTAAATAGATAATTATTCTTTGTACATCTTCATTGTTAATTTATAAAAATATATGTTCACTTTTTTCGTTTCTTCTTTCTATCCAACTCATTGAGTTCACTTTGTTGCATTGATGCTTCTGCATAAATTCTCTTAACTTTCTCAATCCTCTCCTTATCACTGAAAAACAAATAACAAACAAAATTAGTAATTGTTGAAAAACTAGAAAAATCTTTCTACCTCTGTATCCGCTGGTTTATCTTGACCCTTCCTAGGAAGGCTTTATCCCTCCTGATTTCCCTCAAAGCCCCCTTCTTTTCCGATTTGAGCTTATGCAACAATTTACTTTGCTCGCGTTTTTCCCTTGATTGCACTTTGAACCGTTTTCCATCATAACTAAAAAAAAAAAAAACCCAAGTTAATCATCTTTAAAAACTATTTCTCAGGCAAAATACTAACACTGGTTCAATTTTAGGTTCGTATAGCCTTAAAGCCTTTGGCCTCGTAGCTTCCATCACGATATAATTCAAAATTCTTTCGGATTTCGTCTTGTTCAAACAGTTGGACAAGTTTTCCATCCCATTCGCCACTTTTCTGGGATAATTTAAAGCGGGTACGAGCTCCAAATATTTCTGGATCGGTGAAAATATTTCCACGTTGCTGGGAAGTTTTTCAAAATGCCGATAGAATTCTTCCGACAACCCGATTGCCGTGTGCAAAGCCCTCACTTTGAATTCCTCGTCGATTTCCGTAGAGAGCAAGTCGGTATTTTTCATCTGGAGGGATTGGAAATATACGTTTTAATATACGGGGTGGGGTGTCAGAGAATCTATTAAACTAGTCATAACTTCTAAAATAGCAGGTGCATCTAAATGAGATTCACTATAGGTTATTAATGATATCTGAAGAGAAGATTCTTCACATATTTTTTACTTTTCGGTCACTTCCGGTTTCGCCGGAAACGGCTCTGGTTCAAAATTTTCAAATGAAACACCCTGTATATTGTAACATTTTTGGATTTCTGAGATAATTCAGCACCAGAATGTGACATTTTCAGGCCTACTTCGTTTTTTAAAATCACTTTCAATATTGCACAGAATTTAGGAACTTTTACTTTTTGCTCATAAACTTTATATCACTGTTATTTCTTCAGGAATTGCTTTGTTTTCTGAAGAAGACTTGATGAGAATAACTGCAAAATATTATGCATCATGGCTATCCATGGCAGACTTGACAAAAGTGAGTGAATTAATATCCAGTAGTTTTGATTGATTGATTGATTGTCTTTATTACCACCCGTTTATAATAGGGATACATGAATACATATCTATAAAGAAATGTATCCATTTAAAAACTCAAAACTGGAGCCATTTCCGGTGAAACTGGAAAAGACCGGAAAGTGAAAAATATGCGAAAATCTGGCGAGAACTATCTTTTTACATCCCATTCACCGATACCAAATCTCATTCTGATACACCAGGTATTATAGAAACTATGACTTGTCCGGTAGATTCGTTGACAGCCGGTATATTTTCTGCTACTGTCTCATAAAATTTATAAGTGAGATTTTCGAAAATAAGTTCTGAAGAGGAGTAATTTTTATTCTAAAATCTTACTTGGAAGCATTTCTCAGAGGAATCTGAAAAGCTCAGACTGAGATTTTCTAAAAGGACCAATAAAGTCGAGGTAGACTTGAAAGGTGGCGGCACTTTCACCAATTTTACACCAGTTTTAGGTATAGCCATGTGAAGGAGGCCAGCTAGAAAATTTATAACACCCGGTAGATACCTCTGGGATATTGTAGTGTACTGTAAAACAATTTCATCAGGGATAAATAATAAAATAGACAATCATGATAAATACATTTTTTCCATTGAGCATTGGAAAAACTTCACACAATGATTATTAGATTTCCACTATTTTCTCTTTGGACGGTGAATTCGAAGTTCTCGACCTCAAAAACTCCTAAATATGCATTTTCAGAGGATTCGTCCGCCATCTTGCAGGCGCCATCTTGGACGAATTATCTTGAAATTCAAGGTTTTCAATTAAACTCCTCGATCCTTGACCTCAAGATATACATATTCAGGTGACTTTCGAGATTTTTGATGAAGCAGGCTTTTTTGGAAAAATAGAAAATCAACTCATTTGTGGAAATTTTTCCAAATGAACAAAATACCTCAAGAACCAAAGTGCAGAGGAACAGTCCATAGGAAATGTCTCTTCTATTTCTGACTCTACACTTGTTGAGCATTTGCTCCATGAAAACAAAACAAGGCGTGACAATTTGATGACGAAAATCAGACGTAGGAAACAGAATGCTGACCAATTTCAGAAAAACCAACACTTCCAACCCTGGATAAATCCCAGGTTTTTTTCTGTAGTCCTCGTGTTTTTCCTTGATCACTTCCAAAACGGAATTATGTGCGTTTTCGGGATTGAGCTGTGCTAGTTGGTAAATCTGAGGCACGAGAGCTTTGAAAATGTCAAAACTATCTTGTATAGTTTCCACTTTGGAAGAATCGGTAAATAGATCGTTAAAATACTGCAACAGGTAGGCGAAGAGCAGACCTGAAATAAAATGGGATGTCAGCAGACCGAGGACGACTGATGAGCTCTTGCGAGCCGAAACAGTATATTCAAAGTGGAAGAGGAAACATACCTAGATTTTCCTTGTTACTCTCTGCCAAACTGGGATGGTTACATTTGATCATTCTTTCAATTATCACACATTGATGACTGCATGACTGGCTCTCAAGTTCTTTGAGAAGTGTTTCATAGGAATCAGGCAAATGGAATGTGAAAGGAAGCTCTTGTCTTGCCTTTTCCATTATCTCTTTTCTCTGCAGCAAATCATTTTTTATTTCCATTTGTAGATCTTCCTTTGTCTCCCCAATGAGATCTACAGGACTTTCTTCAGTTTTATTATCCTCTAAAACATAATTATTTAAAAACAAAGATATTGCAATCGCTCATGAGGTGTCAATTACCAATCTTTGATTCCTCTTCAGACTCACTATCACTAGAATCTGCTTTCAGATCGGACAAATTATCCTCAGAGTCTGCTTCTGATTCTTCATCAATGCTGTTATCTTCATCTGCCGAAGATTCTGCTTCCGTTAAGGGTTTGCCATTGACACTAGCCTCTATTTGCAAAGTGGACTTTCCTTCATTGTCATAACTGAGAGTGTAATCTGGCTCGGGATCGTCGTCGTGAATGAAATCGTCATCTAAATCGTCTGCACTTCTGTGCGTCTGTTTGGGATTTTTCGCGTCAATGTAACCTTGCATTCTTTCTAATCTGTCATTTTCTAGCTTCTCCAATCTTGCTTTTTCTTCTTTAGCTACCTATATAAATTCATTGTATAAAATATATAGATAAGGATATACCTACTGAATAAATAGTTCTTACCTCATCTTCTGTTTTGAGTCTGTCAGATACAGTACCTCTGGCTTCAAATTTTAGCTCTCTCATGACTTTGTCATAATCATCTAATTGTGGCTTTTCCACATCGTCTGGATCGTTTTTTGATTTTTGGTTTACGAGAGGTATGAGATCTTTCCATTCAGAATCTAGTTTTTCAGTTAGTTCTAAAGTGGCTTCTTTGGTTTTCTGTTTTTCAGCTTTACGTTTTTTGGATTCTGCTATGAGCTGATCAATGAGATCTTTGTGACTTTTTGCCCCTTCTACTCCTGTTTTTTTCAACATGCCACCTCCGAAATGTGCCTCTTTCACAAAATCCCTATCGAGTTTTCCAGATTCATCTGAAAATTTTTCATTGCTATTTCAGAGACTTAACCCATTTTTTCTGAAGTGATAAAAAATAGGGAATATATTTTCCTCGATATTTTCCTAATCCATTTTATACATCCCGAAAAAATCGCACGATGTTCTATGAACATTATAGCGATAAAGCGATGAAAAAAAAAGTTCTTTAAACCTAAAAAATATTCAGACATGAGGGCAACAACAAAATTGCTTATTTTTTAACTCAGATGACTTATAATACAAAATAAACTTCTTTGGAATTTTTGCAATGAAATGTAATTAAATTGCGACTGGTGTACAATTTTTTTCTCGCAGGGCGGAAAATATCAGAATTTCCGAAATAATAAAAAAATATATTTCATCGGGAGGTCGGAAAAGGAAATTTGGAAATTATTTCATCGCACCTACAGGGTGGATTTGATTTTGTTCACTATAGCCAAAATGGGGGTGGACAATTTTATCAAATTTGTTTGCCCAGGCCAAATTTATTTTAGTGTGGATGAAATCATTTGAAAGTACTATTTTTATATCACCATTCATATAAAACCAGTGTGGGGCCTAATACTGCGTTGATTCATATTAGAATTTTTTCTAATTCTTCAAATTAATGAACAAAAATCGAGAAAAATATCAAGCACGGACTTTAAAACAATTTAAATGATTGAACTCCACGTGATTGTACCTTCCGCACAGAAATTTTAGAAGTGCCTAAATCTTTCGAACCGTTCCCATCACGTGATATGGAAATTCGTGTTTTTTATGATTTTTTTCGCAATAAAATTGTGGAGGCTGAGTTTGCTCAGGGAGTTTTATTTTGGTGTACTAATAACATGGCGTGAGCCTATTTGTGATCATTTATGCCAGAGATAACTTATCTCTGATTTATGCTTTCAAGGATGTTCCTTTTTACTCTCGAGACCCCAAGGGTCTTGTATTGTTAATAAGTTTTTCTACGAGTGAATGCGCATGCGTCCATAATGTGTCACGTGATTTACTGTGACCAATCTGACAATGGGATTTGGGAATGGTTCGAAAACTTTAGGCTCTCGTAATCTTTGGCTGGAAAAAGAGGTATAACTTAAAATTTTAGTTTGATCCCTACATGTTTTTCTATTGGTGCCATTCGATAGTATACGTCAAGTTTTCTCAGGCTTTGAAATATTTGCACTTATTTCAATGCCATCCTGTATAAAAATCCCTATTTCCCTTGGTCACGCCATTATGCATGAACTGCTGGACCGATTTCACTAATTTTTTGCTGTTGTGTTTATTATTGTTAGGAGAAGGTTCTTATGAGAGAAAAATATGAGAAATTTGAAATGGTGGATCCAATATGGCGGACGAGTTTTGTAATTATGTTCTGTTTCCATACAAAATTGGTATCTGGTAGTTTTTGAGGTCGGAGATTACGATTCGAGTTATGATTTTTTCCTCAAAATTTGAAAATTTAAGATGGCGGATCCAACATCGCAAACGACTTTTGTAATTGTGATGCGATTCTGTTCAAAATTGGTATCTGAGAGTTTTTGGGTTCAGAGATAATGGTTCTTTCGTCAAATTTTTGAAATTCAATATGGCGCGCAGATCCAATATGGCGAACGAGTTTATCAAATATGGCAGGATTCTATTCAAAATTGGTATCTGAGGGTTTTCGGGGTCGGAGATTATGATCCCTTCCTTAAAATCAGGAAATTCTTGATTGCGGATCCAATATGGCGGAGACGAGTTTTGTAATTATGTTCTGATTCTATACAAAATTTGTATCTGGGGGATTCTGGGGTAGGAGATTATGATTCTTTCGTCAAATTATGGAAATTCAAGATGGTATCTCCAATATCGTGAAGGAGTTTATTAATTATGATCCAATTATATATAAAATTGGCATCTGGGGGTTTTCAGGGTCGGAGATTATGATTCCTTTGTCAGTATTAGGAAATTCATGATGGCAGAGGAGGTTTGTAATTATGATCCGATTCTATTTGAAATTGGTACCAAGGGATTTTCAGGGTTTGAAATTATGATTCTTTCATCAAAATTGAGGAATTCAAGATGGCGGATCCCATATGGTAAACAAGTTTTCTAAATATGACCCGATTTTAATCAGAATTTGTATCTTAATTTGAGTTTTCAGGGTCGGAGATTATAATTCCTCTGTCATAATCAGAAAATTCAAGATGGCGGATTCACTATGTTGAATGAGCTTTGTAATATTATAGTGTTTTGAAAAACTAATGGTACATGCTTTTATAGATTGCCAAACTAAAAAGAAGTAGAAGATGAAAAGTAGTTTAGGAAACTATAAAGAGAACTGAAAAGAAGTAGAGAATAAGTAAATAGTAGTTTCAAAAACTAAGAAAACATGCTTGTATGGTTAGTCAAACTGAAAAGCAGTAGAAAATAAAATGATAAAAGTGTGTGGTTAATAATTTATATAAAAAAATATTTTCTGGAAATAATGTATAAAGCAAAACAGCATTTGCTGGATCAGCTAGTGAACAAATAAAAACCTCACATTGCATATGGAAGCAAGAGGATTTTTCAAAAGATGTCCCTTTTGTCCAGTTGATTGGAAAAAAAGTGGACAGAAAGCCCACTCAACTTACCTATGTTTAGAGTATAAAAATCAGGACTTGAGAGGCAGATCCTTTTTTCTTAGAGGATTATTTGGTGCAAGATAAGAGTACATAATAATTGAATAATTAATATACTTAGTCCTGAATTGTGGTGACTAATAATCCATTCAAATATTGTGATCATGTGCTTTCAACCAGTAGGTTATTGACATTGTTTTACAAATTTCTGAATTTTCCAGAACAAAAAAGTTTTGATTTCATTATTAAAAATTATTAAAGGAGCCAACCTATTTTATTTAAGTGATCATTACTATGAAAATTATACAAACTGCCACACAGTATCATATATATTCATTTTAGGGTGGAAATATATCACTTACCTTCATCCAAGCTATCTTCATCAGATCTGGGGTCATCAAATTTTTCAATTTCACTCAGAGTCTGTCCTCTGTGGGTAAGAACTACATCATCAGCAAGGTTGAATTTACTCTTCTTGTTGTGTGCTTTAACACGAACGGCAGTGAAACGAGCCATTACCTTATCCTCACTGGTCAATTTGTGATTTCTCTCTCCAATTCTTTTGTCAGTGAATTTGTTGGACTTATCCTGCACTTTATATTCCTTGAGAAGTGTGTGTTTTCTTTTTTCCAGCGCTTTGGCTCGCGAGACTCCAGGTAGGCCTCTGTCATTTTTCTGTTTCTTACCAATAACTTTTAATTTCTCCTTATTGATGTGAACTTCGAATGGGTTCATGGATTTTTTTAAATGTAACTGTTCCTTTTTCTTGTGAATTTGATCAGAAGACACTTTTTTATTCTTAGTTTTAGCCATACTGTTGCTTATTGATGTTATTCAAAGAACTTTCAAGCCAGAATCCAATTTCCTAGATCTTCACTTTGCATAAACTCTGACATGTTTGAACTTAAACATAACCTCAGATTTTAAATATTTAAATAAACAATGAGAGAAGATGAAATGATCTTATGCTCTTATAACATCTTGCTAGATATCCAATGTCATTGTAGTCTTATGTTCTTGTAGCATCTTGCCAGATATATCTTGCCATTATAGTTCTGTGCTCTTGTAACATCTTGCCGGATACCCCATGTCATTATAGTCCTATGCTCTTATGACATTTTGCCTTTATCTCTCTTTGTTTTTGACAGTGGTTTTGACGTTTCGCATAATAACAAACAACGCATCATCACTTTCACTTTCAAGGTTATTATTTACCAAAAGAAAATGGTAATATTGGTATTTTATATTTGATTGCTTATTCATCAATCCAGTGATTTTCTTTTTAGAAGAATATACAAACCTTTTCAGGTTGATATGGTCAATTAAATTTCCTATTTATGATGATCTGGTAAGTTTTATTCATCAATCAACAATATTCTCTTTGATTGTCCAACACCCACATCAAAATTCATTGGCCCATCCTGCGTGAAACATTGTTAAAAATAGATTTTTATTGCAGGAAGAATATCTCCATAGCTAATTCCTTTTCAGGGTATCCATCAGGTTGAGTGACCAATTGCTGAATTCAATAATATTCAAATTATAGAGCAAGATAGGTACAAGAAGCAGGAGATACATCCCACGTAGAATCATGACTAAACCACCCAGTGAGAATCTGCCCACTGTAAAATTGGTGGTAGTCGGTGATGGTGGGGTGGGAAAAAGTGCCATTACCATCCAGTTCTTTCAAAAATTGTTTGTCACTGATTATGACCCAACAATAGAAGACAGTTACATGCAGCATGTTGAAGTTGATGGACAGTGGTGTATGCTGGATGGTGAGATTTATCAGTGATTTGAGTGATTTGTCTAGAGTAGTCTGTTTTTTTAAGTGTTGGACACTGCTGGTCAAGAAGAATTCAGTGCTATGAGAGAGCAGTATATGAGAAAAGGTGATGGATTCCTACTTGTGTATTCTGTTACAGATACTAATAGTTATGCCAATATTACTCATTTTCATACACAAATTTTGAGAGTCAAAGACAGGTATTTGCTTCATTGAAATAATTGTCTGCAACTTGAATTGATTCTTTGTTTTTTTTCTTTTAGAGACACTTATCCAATGCTTTTGGTAGCCAACAAAGTAGATCTGGTTCATTTGAGGAAGATAACTGAAGAACAAGGTAGAGAACTTGCTCACAAACTGGGCATTCCATATATTGAAACCAGTGCAAAAGATCCTCCTTTGAATATAGATGCAACTTTTCATGAGGTAAGTATGGAGTGCCTCTTTACTTTTTAATATACATTGGATCTAATATATGACAAAAATTGTGTTTTTGTTGCAATAGTTTGCTGCAAAAATTGGCATTTTTACAATACATTGCCACAATGTGTTGCAAAAATGAAACATTTTTACAATACACCAACTTGCAATGTATGGTAAAAACCATTGTCTGCTAAATATGGAGAAAAAATCTAGTGAGCTGTAACTACTGGTCTCCTCTATTGCTCAGTTGAGTGTATGGCCACCAGAGGATGTTACTGTATGGGATGAAATGGTCTTCACTTTTTTCTAGAAATGTTTAGAAATTTGTGGTTATGTAAGTTGTCAGTGTCAAGAGCTGTCATGCCATCATGACTTTTATTGTATTTTTCTTAAAAACAATCTTCATTTTTCAATTCTCATAGTTCTAATATTCCTTTCATTTATAGATATAGTTTTGTATTGTGTTCTCTCTCAGTATTATAGTTTTTATTCTGATTGCATGATAATGTGTTACAAACTCTGTCTCTCAATTTTGCCTACCAGAAAGTGTGAAACTGTCTGAAAATTGTTTTAAAGTTCATAGATTCATAGATTTCCAAGTAATATTCTTTTGCAACATAAGATAATCAGAGCCCTGATCAAAAGCTAATAATCGATACTACTCATTCAACCTCCCATTTCATTTAGGTGTTGAATGTTATGAAATTGGGGACTATTGTAGTGTCTGTAGCAACTATTTTGAGAAGGAATGATGAATTTTTGAGTGACTGAGTGACCGTGACCCGTGACTATATGTCGTTATACTGAACTCAAACCAAAGACAAACCAAATTTTCTATTCATTTCTCTATGACTCAAACTCACTGAACAACAAACTACGCGGCAGGCTGAGAGTGCCGAGAGCACCGCTGAGGGAGCTGCTCAACTCGTTTACGATTTTCAAGGTTATGTAGGTTTGACAGAAAACCAATTGAAATAAGCGTTTCCTCAAGTTGACCGTATGGCGGCACTACTTTATCGGCCACAGGAACCTGTAGGGGATTTCCCATATTTGAACCACCAGATACTACAGCTCACTAGATTTTTTTCTCCATATTTAGCAGACAATGGTAAAAACGATGGTGAGATACACTACAAGCAATGTATTGTAAAAATATAGTTTCTACAATGCATTGATTTCAATGTATTGCAAAAACTGATTTATACCATACATTAACTAGCAATGTATTGTAAAAACAAACATTTGATAATTGATATAGCAAAATTCATCAAATGCAATAACTCATTTTTGCAAAACATTAAGCCTCATGTATTATAAGTAGAAACATGGTAAAAACTAAAAAGATAAATAAAGCTCCAGAAGAAAGAGATAATGACTTCTTCTCTTTTTTTTGGCCTGTGGACCTCTATAGCAGAGAGTCCAAAGTTTAAAATAATCACTGACTTGTGACTTCATCTACATTGAAGCCATTGAAGGAGAAACTGATTATTGAGAACTGTTGAAGATAGTCGTACATCATACCATTCCTCTAATATTTTTATTCGCCTTTTATGAAAAGTAAGATTGAAACTGTTAGTTTTCTCTTCACACCCTTATGCCCTTTAGTTATTATATAAAACTGCCAAGATGGTGAGGTGAGTTTACCATCACATTCATTTACCTTCACAATTGCCTACCCTAGAACATTCCTAGAACAAATCCACCTTTCTAATTTCTTAGAAAACTACTCATTTAGAAGCTATATATACCTATTTCAATTTGTACAAGAAAAATAACTCATTTCCATACCAAGGGGCAAACAGCTCATGGAATACATATGTAATTGTAAAATGTTTGGAAATGTTCCTCACTTCTACCTATCAGTACCAGTTCTCTAAAATGTTTAAATACAGATTATTCAAATACCTTTTTTATTTCATTCATTCTCGGAATTTTGATAAATCTTTTTCAGTATATATATATAGAGGTTCCTTCATTGTTTTTGACTTTTGACATCTGGACATCAAGAGCACAGAACTTAAATATATTATGATATTATGCATTCTATGATTTAAGATAAGGAGAGAAGAAGAAAAAGATAATCGAAACTAGATCAAAACCTGAAAATCAATCTGTTGCAAAAACTCATTTTTGCAATACATTAAGCCTCATGTATTTTAAAAACAATAGATTAAGACTTAAGTTATCACAAAAATGTATCTCATCTACTGTCATGAAATTTTATGTATTGCGAAAATTGCTTTTTTACAATACCTGACAATACTATGTTTTCAATGTAGGGCAGATTATCGGTTTTTACAATAGGTGTTTCTACAATACATGCATTCTAGTTTCGGAGAAACATGAACTCCATTTCAAAAATCAAATGAAAACATCATTCAAATCTGAGGAATTTTTGTTAATTATTATGAAAATTGTATTAGCATTAATATTTGGGCTTATTATTGTTTGTAGGTGGTAAGAATAATAAGAAATCAACCCCAAAATGATAATGAGAAACGAAAAAAGAAGAAACTCCATAAACTGGGCAAATGCACCCTTTTATAGATTTATATATGTTGAGATGTTGAGTTTTTAAAGCATTTTTATATGTTATATTAGCCTAAATGTATACAGCTTTAAGGTTAAAAAGTGTTCAATGTTATGTGTCAGTATACTAGCTATTTGTTGATTTTTCATCACATTATGCAAAATGAGAATTGGCAGAAAAATTACAAAGAATTTTATAATTTATACCAAGTTAGATTGCCAGAAATATCACATATTGTACATCATATTTTTTCAACTGTACAATACATGGAAATTTCTGTAAATTTCCCACCAAGTAATGGAAATGTTTGATTATTTGGGGTGATCTTGAGCAGGAAGGAAGTAAAGTTCATAACACTGAATTATTTCAGTGTATTTAGATGATATTTTGACTTGCTCAAATTCGGCAAATCCATGCCAGATTCTACATTTGTTTATTGATTAGCTTCTGGTTTGCACCCTGTATTTTTCAGATTTTTGGGTCTGGGGTCAAAGATAATGTAAGTACCTGTTGAAAAAATGTCCAAGACATTTTCCAAAACATTGACCCATTTTAATTGTTTCAATATTAGCTAGAACATTCTCAAATAATTTCTGGCAATCTCATTCTTTAAACAAAAGGATAAACCTGACTGGCAAGTGATAGTAAATTAGTATTTTAGATATTTTTATTTTTCTCCTGTTATCATTTTTGCATCTTTATGCAAATGTACTTTTTGATATCATCAGTTTATAAGTACAGGGTTGATCAGTTAAGGGTAGCGATTTTCGAGTTTGTCAAACGTCCGCTAGAGGGCGTAACAACCAACACCAAGTATATTAATGGGATTTTTATAGAATTTTGTCTCATGAAAGTATGTCGATGATATCATTTTCATATTTACGGACCATTTCCCTACATTTTTTGTCAAAAACGTTTTGTTCTAGCTATCAAAATAAAGCGGTGGGGGGAGTTCAATTGTTTTTTCAAACAAACCTAGATTTCTCCCGTTTATTTCGACCGATTTTAGCAAACTCAGGGTAATATGAAAGAGCATAATTTGCCCTACAAAACGATTATTTGGTTTTGAATTTTGACTTCTGCTGTCGCCGCTAGATGGCGTTAACTGAAAGGTTAGCAAATTCTTGAGTATATAAATTTCTATATGTTTTGAAAGAGGATAAATTTCTCAATAATTTTATGAAAATAATTTATCATCTACCTTTTTTGAAACGTTGATATTGACCTTAATATAATTTTATTTCATTAAAAAATGGCACGCCACTGTTTTTTATCGAAATAAAAATCGGTTTTGTAATCTCTTATCAGTTGCTCACAAAAATAACCTCCTGACTTTTTTTCTTTAGACAAACGGTTTTGGATTGAAAAAATAAAATAGGTTTACATGGGGCGCCCATATCTAAAATAGTTTTGAACCAGTAAGTAAACCAATTTTATTTTCTCAATCCAAATCCGTTTGTCTATCGAAAAAAAGTCACTAGGTTATTTTTGTTAGCAACTAATGAGAGATTACAAAACTGATTTTTATTTTGATAAAAAACAGTGGCGTGCCATTTTTTAATGTAATAAAGTTATATTATGGTCAATATCAACGATTCAAAAGAAAGTAGATGATAAATTATTTTCATTAAATTATAGAGAAATTGATCTTTTTTCAAAACATATAGAAATTTATATACCATCACATTTTATTTTTTTGAAAAGAACTCAAAAATTTGCTAACATTTCAGTTAACGCCATCTAGCGGCGACAGCAAAAGTCAAAAATTCAAAACCAAATGAGCGTTTTGTGGGGCAAATTATGCTCTTTCATATTACCCTGAGTTTGCTAAAATCGGTCGAAATAAACGGAAGAAATCTTGGTTTGTTTGAAAAAACAATTGAACTTCCACCACCGCTTTATTTTGATAGCTAGAACAAAACGTTTCAGACAAAAAATGTAGGGAAATGGTCAGGAAATATGAAAATGATATCATCGACATACTTTCATAAGACGAAATTCTATAAAAATCCCATTTTTCTACTTGGTGTTGGTTGTTACGCCCTCTAGCGGACGTTTGACAAACTCGAAAATAATTTCCAGCAATTTCTCTTGGCGATCTATACGACCAATATCTTATGAGATATGGCCGCTCGCTACCCTTAACTGATCACCCTGTATAAACTTTTGTTTCATCACTAATTTTTTATCAACGATATTGGCCTAATTTTGTTGATTAATGGAACCAAAGTAACTTGAATGTTAAGTGGATGTGTATACATAATTGTTATTGTTGCCAATTTGAATTGGCTCATTGTTATACAGGTACAGGGTGGCACATTTTTGTACTGAAATACTTTGGATGAGTTTTTATGGGATAAACCATACTGACTTGCAATTATTTTTCATGAAAAATTGTACACTCTGTATATAGATTGATGTGCTCATGAAATTTTAGGCAGATCAAGGTTAACATTTCTGAAAAAGAAAGGATTTGACAAAATCTGTGATTAGTTTTTTTGCAATTCAATATTAACGAATTAAGCATCTGAGAGAAAGTGATTAAACGTGCATTGAAGGTTTATTTGCTTTCTGAAATTTCCAGAGTAATATATTTATGTGATTTTGCAATTATTCTTGCAATATTTTTAGTATTATTCATTGATTAATGTTTATAATTATTTTGTGTATATAATTTACTCAATAAAAGATACAAAAACCAATCAATGCTTTTTTGCTCATTGTGTTTTAGTATTTTTTTTCAGGTTCTTCAAAATATACCTAACCTGTGGAATTTTATATTATGTTTTGTTCATAAATTGCGTAAGTATACAGGGTGGCCCACGGTCGATGGTACCTTAGACGTATACGAAAAACGGTACATTGGATTATCCTGAAAATTTGGTTACTCTAATAAGCGTTTGTGATCTAACGATTCAAAATATTTTCAGTGAAGCAGCGTTGACACTTTTACCAAAAAGTAGCATTATCTTTGTTATTTCAAATGGAACACCCTGTATTTTATTGCGTTTTTAGATTCTTCTCGAAGAGCTGATTTCATCAATGCATCACACTTGGGATCTAGCAGGAATTATTACAGAGATATAGGGTGTTCAAAATCGAGATTTTTCAACTTCGGGAATTTTTTGTGTCGAAACTATTCATCATTGGTCAAAAAGGCTTACATGTCCCTATATTAACTTTTGATTAACTATCTACCGACATTCAATTGGAAAAAATACAGGATGGTCCAAGATTCAGAATTTTGATCACCCTGTATCTGTTCCAATTAAATGTCAGTAGATAGTGAATCAAAAGTTGAGATAGGGACATGGAAGCCGTTTTGATCGATAATGAATAGTTTCGACACAAAAAAATTCCTGAAATTGAAAAATCTCGATTTTGAACACCCTATATCTCTGTAATAATTCCTGCTAGACCCCAAGTGTGATACATTGATGAAATCAGCTCTTCGAGAAGAATCTAAAAACGCAATGAAATACAGGGTGTTCCATTTGAATTAACAAAGATGATGCTAATTTTGGTAAAAGTGGCAACGCTGCATCGCTGAAAATATTTTGAATCTTTAGATCACAAACGCTTATTAGAGTTACCAAATTTTCAGGATAATCCAATGTACCGTTTTCCGTATACGTCTAAGGTACCATCGACCGTGGGCCACCCTGTATGTTATGCTCATGTTTTTCTGGATCTTTATATTGTCAATGTTATGAAGATGCTAAAAATGTAGTAACTGGTCTCAAAATCACAATACATCCCTTGTACACAGAACACCCTGTATATGTCATAAAATCATCATTCAAGTCCACACAGCAATCATTGGAACCCCTCTCGCAATAAACGCTCATAATATATTTTCTGCCGTTTTTCCTCTTTTATGTGCAGAGACGGCTTCAAATAATTTTCTCGTTTTATTATAAAAACGTAAATGTAAAGATTCATGAACAGAATTTGCTTTTTTTCAATGGAAACCCTATTTCTTCACAACGGATTCTCTTGTTCTACAGAGAAAAACAAATAAAAAATGTCTCTAGCAAATTCTTTTTTGGGCCCCTTAAAGGGCCCCAAATTTTCAATTTTAGAATTTGAATTGAAGAAAACAGAATCTTCATTGGCATGTAATTCGTTAACCAGAATGAGGGTTTGCTTAAAAAAACGCTAATATGCTGGAACTGCACTTATGTTTATCATATTTAAAACATATAGGTTTGACCTTATCCTAAAAGTTATTGCAACTCAAATACCAAAATTGATAATTTGGGGCCCTTTCAATATTCAACAGTTCTGTTTGCATTTTCAATTGAACTGTCAAAATTCAGTTTGTTGAACAAAACTGTTGGCGTTCCTTCCAAAGCACTCTTCGCAAAAATGTTTTTTTGCCAATTCTGATCAACAGGAAAGATTCGATCATATATCGTGTGATACACATCATTGTAATCAGACTTTTCAAAAATGCAACAATCCGATATGACGCCGATGAGAAGAAACAAAGTTAAGTGTTGTAACTTTGACATCAAGAAGGTCATGGAAAATACGATGACAGATTCAGATTCCGTGTGAAAAAGTGCCTCAATAATATCCTAGTCAGAAACGTCTAGGTCTTTTGGTTTTCTCTTGAAAAAATAAAAACGAAAATTACATGTTTTCGTTTTCGTCGAATAATTTGAAAACTAAAAATGACAAGTCGAATTTTCATGCAGATGAATGTTCAGCATGAAAATGCGCCACTTTGCCCTAATTCAACCGACCTCGTATCTCTTATAATAACTGAGATCCCAATGCTGAAGCTCGAAAAACGGGCACCCGGTATACCTTCAAGTTCTGAAATTCATACTCCGGCACTGTTTTCGATCATGCGCTCTATCCAACATGTTTCCCGCGGCATTTTCACCCGGAAAACTCGAATCAATATCCTTCGTCCTGATCCTGGAAAGATTTCCTTCGTACCAAACAATGCGCGCACAGCAGGACAACGAGAAACATATTATTTACAACAAAGTGCCATGCGTTTGAAAGTGTGCTTGTGTATTCGGTAAATAATCGTCATTTATATAAGGTTTATATATTTATTGTGTTTTGGTGGAGTGTTCGAGAAAGTCGGTTTGTGCAATGTAAAGGTGCGGATAAAATGTACCTATAGTATGGTTATGTGAACGAGTGTCTTATTTGGATTATTTTTGTGTCAGGTAAGCATGTACCTTATTTTCACCTATCAAAATACGATATTAATAATGAATAGGTACAACGAACTATTGCATGGTTCGTTGTGAATTATGTAATGAGGCAACGGTATATACCGTATTATTTATTCACCGGATATATGATTTCAAGGGTCATTGAGTAGATATTCTGTTATCTAAGGATAAAGGCCCATAGGATAAGTCTAGAACTTATATTAGACAACATTTGTAAACAAAGAATTATTCAGAAACGCCCAGACAGCACAAAGTGATTCTGAGAATGTTCTTAGAATATTCCTTCGGAACGTTTCGAATATTCTCAGAATGTACTCACAAGGTGCACGGAATGTTCTGAGAATATTCTAAGAACATGCAAATGGGACGAAAATTCACGTTCCAAGAACGTTCTCAGAATATTCATGAGAAGATTCTAAGAATATTCTCAGGATCATCCTCAGATCATTCTGAGAACATTCTCGGGATATTCTCGAATATATTTTTCAACATCCCCAGAATATTCTCAGTATCATCTGAATATTCTGAGAGAGTCCCCATAATCTTCTCCAGAACATTCTCAGAATGTTCTAGAAATATTCTCAGTATACAGGGTATCTGAAAACACATTGCAAAAATATTTTAGGGATCAATAGAGGAGGAAGAATGAGCTCCTCTATTGAACCCTGTATAATTATTAGGATGAAATGAAATTCAAAAGACAATTCAGTGTATAAAAATATAATAACTTCAAAATAAATAAAACATCATTCTCAAAATAAATAAAACATCATTCTCACAATAAATAAAACATAATTCTCAGAATAAAAAATGAAACAAAACTATATGAACATATTCAGATACATAATATATATATATACAGGGTAGGTATATCTTCATGAGTTATCTATATATGCAGAACTAAAAGTAGCATAATTCTAAAAATTTGTGTGGACAGTGAAGGAAACATGGAGAATCCAACTTAAACATGTTCGTTATTGTGACGCTTCTGGTTTCTCCGGAAGTGACGTCATCTTTGTTGTTTTCAACAGGACACCCTGTATATTATTTCATTTTTATCCCTGAAAAGCTGATTTCTTTAACCTACCACAGTTGGAGTCTAGCAGTGATGATTACAGAGATATAGGGTGTGGAAAATCGAGATTTTCTAGGTTCAAGAAGCTTTGGTGTCAAAACTATACATAATTGGCCAAAATGGTTTACATATGTCCCTATCTCAACTTTTTATTTACTATCTACATACATTTGATTGAAACAAATACAGGGTGGTTTAGAATTTAGATTTCTGAACACCCTGTATCTATTTCAATTAAATATCAATTGATAGTGGATGAAAAGTTGAGATAGGGACATGTAGGTAAACCATTTTGACCAATTATGAATAGTTTTGGGCACAACAAATTCCTGAACTTGGAAAATCTCGATTTTTCACACCCTACATCTCTGTAATTATTACTGATAGACCCCAAGTGTGATAGTTTGATGAAATCAGCACTTTAGGGAGAATATAAAAATGAAATAATAAACAGGGTGCTCTATTGAACATAACAAAAATGACGTCACTTCCGGAGAAACCGGAAGCAAACTATTTTAGTTGGATTCTCCATGTTTTCTTCACCATCTCCACACATCTTCAGAATTATACTACTTTTAGTTCTACATATATCGATAGCGTTTACTCATGAAGAAATACCCTGCATATATGTAATGAAACTAATTATTGGTTCAGTTCCTTTTCTCGCCGTTCCTTCGACTTCAGGAGCCAAAATTTGATTGAAGCTTCAACATCAGCTCTGGTCACTTTCATTGTTTTCAATGATATAACAGCATCTGCAAAATATAGTTTAAATATGATCCTAGTGCAAGAGTTTTTTTTATTACCTATAATCACTTGTGATATCAATAACACAGAAAAGTTTTTCTTCTTTTTAAAACCAAGCCAGCTGAATGATTGGCCCACTTCATTACTTAATACCTTGTCCATGATACGTTTCACCATTATTTTGTGGGAACTTCCTCCTATCGAGGAGAGTTCCTTAGTCTAAAAAATAATATATATTCATTAATGTTGAAAACATTTTTCATCATTTTACCCAATAATAGGCCAAAAATATAAGAAAATTATTGTTATACAGCAGTCTATTTCAAAAAGTACAATAGTGATTCTAGTATTTTCAAGATAGGTACCATGTATGGTTGAAGTAAACAATATAAACTCTATCATAATGAGCAATATTGGGACACTTTTAAATCTCACAGACCAATAATTCATGTTCATAATAATTATATTGTATAGGAGAATCATAATAAGACATTAAGACATTGAGTGGGATTTTCAAATAACCAGTAGATATTACATTCATACCACTTTTATTTTATTCTCATCATTCTTCAGATATGCCTCAAAATCATTCAGATCCTCCAAAGTACTGATAGGAAATTCAAATTTGGTGAAGAATGACTCAGCTATGTCTACTTCATTCGTGGTTTGCAGCATGCCAGAATTCATATCTTTGATTACTTCATCTAGTTTGAAATTAATCAGTGATAATTGTCGAAATACATGATTAAAATTAATTTTGAGCAATTTTTCAAAACCAGTCTCTTCTAAAAATAAAAAAAAAATTAAATCAAGTATTTGAACAAGAATATATGTTTACCTGATATTTTTTTGGGCGTTACTGTGCTTTTGTCAGCATTCGTTCTAGAGGCATTATGATTGTTATCATCAGCTGAAAAAAAATATATATATATACAGTACCTACTTAGTTAATATTAGGGACTACTATGGACTCTACTTGTAGTTGAAAAACTATTTTAGCTTATGAAACATGCAAAAAAAGAGGTTATTAAAAATGTTGCAACTACCCTCAGCAATGATATTGCTCATTAGTTCCTCATCAGAGTCATCTGAAAATGATCAAATATCACTGAACTGTAACATAAATTAAAATAAAACACACCTCTGATATTTGAGTAATTTGGAATCATAGTATTCCTTGGAGTGAGAATGGGCACTTCCAAATCATCAGTTTTTTCAGCTAAAAAAAAAAAGAATATGCCTTATTGTACCTATTTGTTATTTATCCTTAATGTTGATGAAGAAGTCAACAAAAAATATAAATAATAAAAATCAGTTGAGTAAGTAAATACACACCTTCAATCATATGATGTTTACTATTTCTAGGGGACAGCAAGACGGAACGTTCTATATTTGATTCATCTCGAGATTCATCTAGATCAATATCAATATTTGTTTCATCTGAATCATATAAATCAAGAGTATACTTTGAATTTGCTTTTTTTTTTCGGTGACCAATTCCTTTTTCTACATCTGAATTTATATCAGATGTATACATTGCTTTACTTGCTTTAATTTTGGCAGTCACTAAATCATCTGGAAATAAATAGATATGATAAAATCTACATTTTTATGTAAAACCAACAAGAAACCCATGATTAGAATTAGTATATTGTGTCACACAAGGGTAAAAAATAGCTGACTGTCTGCTGAAGCAATCAAAAAGAAAAGGGGCAACTGACTGCTCAGGGTTGCTAATGTGCTGTATGTATGTGTTCATAAAAACACAATGTCACTACTCACCATAAATTTCTCCAATAATTCGAATGCTATGTATTTTCCATGAGTTTTCGGGTGGTAGACATTTTGGTATAGCAACTTTTAATAAATGCTGTTGAGGCCAGTAACAGCTGACTTTATTTATAATCCAGTTCATTGGCACAGCCTCCACAGAGTCTTCTGATATAAAATGAACAACTCGCCAGTATTTACGACTCCTGGAATATATTCATGTAAAAAAAATCTATTGACAATAATTCAAAATACCTCTGAGATGCATATGATTCCATAAAACTAAGGAATGAACAATTAGAAGCCCAGTTGAAGACCAACTGATTAGTAATAAAATAAACATTTGATTAACCTAAATTAAAATTAGAAAGTAATTGAATATTATGTGGCCCATATTCAAAATCAAAATCTGCCATGAAACATTCTATTCTGGGAAGAGACTAATAAAAATGCAAATTTCAAAATACCTACTAAAGAGTTATGGCCTGATCACATTCATGCAACAGAGGGTAAACAACAAATTTATCAGTCAATGGAAATGCCACCAATTTTGAGACAATGTTTTCTATATTATACAGTGACAAATCATTGTCTAAATTACTCACAACATATATATCTAAATCAGAGGAATTACATGGACTTTCAAAGAAATTCTCAATTTTACAAAATCGCTTCCCATAAATGCCTATTTTAGAGTTTCTTCCAAGTATATTGTAGACTCTAACTATTGTATTATTAGTCAGAAGGCAAAATGAGTCAGCAACATTGTTTACATCTAATTTGAACTCTCTAAAAATTATTGATTTATACTGCAACCACCCTACAGCATCTGGCGTTGGGCCTGAATCATGAGGAACTTGACATAGCAGGTCAGGACATACAGAATTAGAAGGGCAATAATTATTTTCAATTTCCTTCATCCTCTTTAATATTTGAGAAATTGGTTTTTCATGTTTTCTTAACAGTTTTTTCAAAGAGCCCAACATGTTTTCAAAGGGGAATGCACTGTAACAATGTAGAGGTCCAAATGTCTTAATATCATCTGATACATGAAGCAAGTTGTGAACATTATGTGATAAAAATTCTCTTCCATATAATTTTTCAAACGATTTCACAAAATATTCAAGAAGAGAGGTTGCAAATTCAAATAAATTGTCAGGAGAATTATTAGAAAATATTCTTGCTGAAATATGTAAACTTAAGAAATTTAAAAAATGTTTTTCATCAATTAATCCATTCAGAATGAAGGAACCTGAATACAACAAAAAAAATCTAAACTCTGTGGCTTTCCACCTTTTTACTTCTTCAAGAGATCTGGGTTTTCTAGCGAATTCTATTGGTATATGATTTTTTATTGAGTCTAATCTATTATTGATTGTTTCTATGACTACAGGACGAAATTTATTGGGAGGTCTTCCATAAACCCACATATTCACAAGAAGTTTCTTCATAACACCCAGACACATTAAATGCATATATTCAACAGGAACATTAGAAACCATATCAAATTCTGGGATATTTTCTAAAATCGAAGTTCCAACATGATGCTCCTTTTGTAATTTCAAGCGAAAACTGGAATTAGTTCTTTTCCTACATTTTGTTTGTGGAAAACATGTTCGGCCTTTCAAATATTCACCCTTTTGAATACATTTTGTGCATGAAAAATACCCTGCATGTCCAACTGTATTCAAAACAAAAGATTTTGCAGGTGCATCACAAATAAGACCAATAATTTTGAAAGGAATTATATTCCCATTCAAATTGAAACCATTATCAGTTAGATCCATTGCATCAATTACAAAATCTTCTAAAAACTCATTTGAATTGGCAGGTTTTTTATAACCATGATAAACCCCTATCAAAGCTACTCCAAATGGCATATTATGTATGGAACAAAGGATTGGCCATATCTGACTGCCTGAACTTTTACTTAGAGGTAGTCCATCTATGTTTACCAGAATATCAATTTTTTCTGGTGGTGTTCTACCTCTTAATAAATATTCTATAGCTTTGTACAGACCAATATGTGAGTATGTTCCAGGTGCAACTGAATGGTATTCAATTTGTCTTGGAGTTTTTAACAATGTGCGAGAATCAGATGGAATATTACTTGGATCAATTTTAGCATTTTTCACCAATTTCAACAAACTGTTAAGGGCAGCATGCTCTATGTGATATTGAATAGCCCATGATATCAAATTGGTTTTGAAGTCATTACTAGTTACACCCGAAACACCTTCAATGTTTGTGATTTCATTGTTCATGGTTGTAAGTTCATCTACATCCTTTGCTTGATGAATTCGTCCAACAATATTTTCAGAATTATCTGATGCAGTCACATGGTTATGTGATTCCCCTGTATCAACATGCATTTCAGCATTTGAGCTAGTTACAGATTCCATCTCAATTTCCATATGTTCAGTATTCGAATCATGATCACTGGTAGTGATGAAATGGGATGAATGGGGTGGTGTAGTCGCACTAGTGGTATTATTGGTATCAGAGTCAACAGAAAATACCACCCTACTCATTTCCTTATGAGTTTTGAGCTTTCTATAATATGTAGTTGAAAACTTCTTAGGCATAGTTAGACTTGAGTCTGAAGTTAAGAAATTTATTGTATGTTGTAGTATGTAGTATGTAAATAAGTATAACGAAATAAAAAATTACTCACATTTTTGCTGGAGAACGTTACGAAATTTCTAAAACCACACAAGACAGCACAAGCACACCATAACAGACGAACAGGGAACAAGAGAACAGACCACAGACCGAACCCTTGACACTTGACATTTGACGCAAGACACAACTCACAACACAAACACCATAGGGCATAGACCGAACCACGATGTACCACTGATCTATTATATAGATCAGTGCGATTTGCGATGTACCAGTGCGATGTACCGACTTATGGTTGTCATTGGGCAAGGATTATTATAGTCCTTGGTCATTGGGTGGGCAAACGACAGAGAACCGACATACATTGACAGATTCTGTTCAGTTGTTGTGAATTTTCTCAGTTAGTTCAGAACGAAAGAATATAGCGCCCCTAGCGGATAAAAAGAAAGTAATTCGAGGGCGGTAAATTTGAATTCATATTTTATGAATAATATCAGGTGCAATCAGAAGTTAAAAGACAATAAAATTCAATAAATGAATTCTCAAATTATTAATTGACGTACTTTACAATAGGAACAGCATTACAAATATATAAATTGTGAAGATTATATGGAAATGTACCAGGATCCTGAAAGTTTTGAACAATTTTCTCTTTCTCATAGTATCTGAATAATATATTCTATGAACATACCTGGAGTACATTCATAGTATATTATGGAATATCTTATAAATGTACCTAGAATATTCAAACAATACATTCTATGAACATTTCTGAATAACATTCATAGAATATAATAGAAGATTCTGAAATGTTCCTAGAATATTTAGATAAAATATTCTATGGATATTCTTTCAGAACATTCTATGAATATTCAGAACATTCTCATCATATTCCAAGAATATTCTTCAGAATATTCTGAAGAAGGTATGTTGTGAACGTTGTGAGAACATTCATAGAATATTCTGTGCTGTCTGGGCGTAGGTATAGTCAATAGCAGGACACTTGGGAGTTGAATCACCCTTCTTTTCATGAATTAATAATAAAAACAATTCAAAGTAGACAGGTCCGATTAGTATTTAGTAGCTGTGAAATATTTTGAATTATACAGGGTGTGCCGAAATTACAGAGGTTCCAGGAACAAGAATAGTATGTAAAACAATTTCATATAAATATGAGCCCTGATGAATATGACTTTATCAACTTTATTTCTATGCAATTTTCGGAAGTTTGACCTGGAAATATGAAAATATCACGTTCAGTTTCGATACCACTCACCATTTTCAAGATTAATCGGTTTTAAAAGTCTGCTGCATCATAAAAATGCTACTTTTTCTTTTATTGTTCCTCTGATATTTTGATTCGAACATTATATATTGAAAAAAGGATATTTTCTATCGAAAAATAATTTTTGGAAAAATTTTGGTCCTATTATGAGGAAAAAGCACAATTTTTTGATTCTGACAATTCTCGAATGGGGATCCAATAACTTGGTAGATTTCAATGCAAACAAAACACAAGCATACCTTTTCTCTAGAAAAGCCGATCTCACTGTGCCCATCATGAGCTTGTCCGGAGTAACCATACCTTTGAAGACATCCATATTTTGATGCTCGGTATTATACTATCAGAAATAACCTTTCTTGGGAAAATCACGTGAGATCAATTGCTAGAAGCGCATCCCAAAAATTTGGTTTTCTGTTTCGGGCCAGGAGCTATATTCCACTTCCAGTCAGCTGCTTATGATCTATAAGGCACAGATCTGACCTTTCCTGGAATACTGTTCCCATATTTGGAGTGCAGCACCCAGATATACCCTGAAACTGCTGAAACTCTGTCCAAAAAAGGGCAATAATTCGTCTCGTGGGTGATGCGTCGCTCACAAACTCACTCATTTCTCTATAACACCGAAGGAAAGTTGGCGATCTGGCTCTATTTTATAGACATTAATTGTCATGGACGATCCTCTTCTAAAATATCAACAATTATTCCTCCCTTGGCAGTCCCCGCGAGATTAACCCGTCCAGTTGAGGCTTCGCACACCTTCGTGGTCACTTTGGAGACCTGCAGAACATCTCTTTCCAGAGACTCGTTCATGCAACGAACAGCGAGGCCCTGGAACAAATTGCCAAGGGAGGTGTTCTCCGAGGCATATAACCTCCAGATAAATTCAGGAAGAACAACCAATTCCTACCTCATTATCCTTGGTTCTCACGATGTTCTCTGAACATTACAGGATATATATCCCTCTTCGTGGGAACCAGAACATAAAAAAAATCCATACAATAATTTATTTTGATTCCTATATATTTTTTTATTGTTGCTATTCGATAGTATACGTCGAACTTTCTTGAGGTTTGAAATATCTCTGTACTTATTTCAATGTCACCCTGTATAGTTGAGGAATGAGTGGGTCGTTTTGTCAACACTTCAGATGCAACCTGTTTGATATTAGGAGGGTGTGGTGCACGTACCTATACATACTTGGTAAGGGTGACTTATTAGATAAAAAGTAGGGGCTGAAGTCTCTAGGGGGTGGTTTGCTTCTCTTCGCCATCCACCCCTCAAATACAGGAAAGTAACTAATGTTACTTGAACCATGTTTTAATTTATTTCCCTCGGCGGGCCTTACTGATAATCTATTTCGAAAATATCTTGTGGGAATGTAAATGCTTTCAACAGAGAAGAGTCCATCAAATAGGAAAATAGTAACTTTTCAAAAATGCAATTTTGCCAAAAACACCGTTTTGTCATAGAAAATACCGTCATCGACACCGACATTAATTTAACACGTCTATCTGATAGTTTGAAAATAGGAATTTCCGGAGGGTTTCTCCCTTTTCAGTGACTGATTCGAGACACCCTGTACAGTGTACAAGTCTCAAGTACAAGTAAGTAGTTTAGTTCACTTCACTTTATCGGAATAACATGTCGGAAATCATCCCAATAGGCCATATTGACAAAGTGTTTTTTTACGGAAATGGAAGATATATACCAGGTCCCCTCAGTAATTTTTTGATAACAAAACAATTCGAAATCACCGCACGAGCTCACCTCATTAATTTTTCGATCATCACAAAAAATTCGAAATCATCGGGAACCACATTTTCCCTTTAATGCAGCGTGGGGGTGAATCGGGGGTACGTACTTTATAATATTTTTCATCGGAAATCGAGAATATGAGGTCACCTCATTAATTTTTCTACCGAAGAAAATTCGAAATCATCTCAATTATTTTTCAACCATCAAAAATTCCAAACCATCGCAAATCACATACTATTATATGTTCCCTTTATTGCAGCTTGGGGGTATATCGGGGGTACGTACTTTTATAGTATTTTTTCATCGGAAATCGAAGATACGAGGTCACCTCATTTATTTTTCGACTACAAAAAATTCGAAATCACCGTACGAGGTCACCTCGATAATTTTCCGACCACCAAAAGATTCCAAATCATCGCAAAGTGGCAAAACCACATTTTCCCTCTAATGAAGCTAGGGTTGTATCGATGGTACTTAGTTTCATAATATTTGTTCATCAGAAATCGAAGATACGAGGTCACCTCATTAATTTTTCGACCACAAAACAATTCGAAATCACCGCAAACCGCATTCTCTTTTTATTGCAGCGTGGGGGTGTATCAGGGATATCTACTTTTTCAATACTTTTTCTTCTAGCGTGCGAAAAAATCGGAAAAGTCCCATTTTCCGCACTCATTCCAGTGTTGAAACAGTATCACAGGGCGGAAAAGTGGATTCATTAAGATTCTGGGGAGTCTACTGACATCTGAATATTGGTAATAATTTTCTCACCAAAAAAGTTTAATCATGAAAATTTTACATCACTGTACGACGTATCCTCAATAATTTCTCTACCAAAATTAAATCACTGTACGAGGTCATCTCATTTGAATTTTCTACCAAAAAATTTGAAATCGCCTCAATAATTCTCCGGCCAAAAATCAAAATCATATTTTCCCTTTCTTGCAGCGTGTGGGTGTATCGGGGGTCCGTATGCGATGTGGACCGCCGTGGCGCCGGACTTGGACGCCGCCAAAAAGGCGCCGTCAGCTCGATCCAAACACAGCGCCACCTTGGTGGGGGAGCACGTGTTTCTGTTGGGAGGACGGAACGGCAATCTGCCCACCAGGGATTTCTGGAAGTACAATCTCAGTGAGTGCGTTATGTGGCAAGATTCTTTCCGAATAATTTTTTCTAGGGTACACAAAATAATCTTTGAATATTGAATTTTCTACATGGACACAATAATTATGGTACCATAACGGGGTTGGGCATATGTGTGGAAACACCTTATTATTTCTGACTACACCAGAAGAAATATATTTATTTTCTTTATGAAGGCTCTTATGATTTTTTCTGTTTTACACAGTGGCCAATGTTCATTTTTCGTACCTATCATATTGTTGTAAATGAGGCGCAGTCAGCAGTTTTTTTAATGGATCACCCTGTATATTTCAGATCTTTCCTGGAGAGCCGATCTCATCAATGTATCTAGGGCTCTAGCGATAATTATTACATAGATATAGGGTGTTCAAAATCGAGATTGTTTAACTAGGTTTTTTTTTGTATCGAAACTATTCATTATTGGGCAAAACAGCTTGCCCCTATCTCAACTTCTCATTTACTATTTACTGACATTCAATTGGAGCAGGTAGGTATAGGGTGATCAGAATTCTGGATCTGGAACCACCCTGTATGTATTCCAATTGAAAGTCAGTAGATATTGAATCAAAAATTAAGATACGGACATGTAGGTCGTTCTGACCAATAATAAATAATTTCAACACAAATAAATCCTAAAGTTGAAAAATCTCGATTTTGAACACCCTGTATCTGTGTTGATTGCGCCATATTTACAACAATAGGTATGATAGCTACAAAAAGTCAACATTGGCCACTGTGTGGAATAGAAAAAATCATAAAAATCTCGGTACGAACAAAAACAAATTACTCATGGTTTAAGTCAGACATATACGGTGTTTTCACACACATATCTTCAACCCTGTATAAAAACTGAATATATTCGTATACAGTGTGACTCACTTGAGAGCGGGATACCATAATACAATTTGTATTGATTCACCGATTATTTTGAAGAACTTTTTTTGAATTGTGGAGCTTGAAAATCTTGTACTTTAGGACGAAATATACTCTTTTTTCTACAAAAAGCAAGGCCTACTGCAAATTTTTTCAGATTTTGAAATTCAAGAAATCATATAATCCCCTCCTAGAATGGTCGTACATCAAATTTCATGAAAAAATATTCGTCTTTAACTTGATAATCGTGTTGATGCGTAGTTCTTCTACTGCCTGCGGTCTGGACTTGTAAATTTCTTGCTTCACAATACTTCCAAGAGAAAATCTAGTGGTGTCAGGTCTGGGGATCTTGGCGACCATTGAATGAAAGGACTATCCCGACCAATCCACTGATTTCTTCAATTATAATCCAGCAATTCTCTTAACACATTGTGGATTATTATATGGCCACAAAATTATTAATATCGAATATATTTTTATGAAAGAGTGAACAGTTACAGGAAAATGGCAGCAAATAAAACCCTCAGGCGACAAGCTACCCTGTCTCCAAGAACACACTGCTGTGGCTTACAAAGACTGTCTGTACGTTTTTGGGGGTGAAGTGGGTTTTTCTGCTGGAACTGAAACTCCTCTATGGGTGTATGATATCAAAGGCAACACTTGGAAAAAGAAACGCACAAAAAAAGGTCAGTATATAACCAACAGGTATAATTCCATGTTTTCGTCGCTTTACTTCTGATATATAAAATAATATATTGGACCGAAACTATGATTCCTGAACACTCCTTGTAATATATCTCGAATTTTCAGGTGTTGCTACTCCAAAAGGAAGGAGAGGACATACAGCGTTGGTACATAATGGTTCAATGCTAGTTTATGGTGGCTATCAAGATTTACGTGGGTCTTGCAGCGAATTATGGGCATATCATTTTGGCAAGTTTTTTTTATAGTTATACTAGCTTTAACCGCGACTTTGCTTGCAATGAAGTCATTAAATGAATATCAAAGATCATTACATTCCAATAGCAATGAATCAAATTGATTCAATCGAGGAATCGAGGATACAGTTTTTTAAATTACTTCATGTTTCATTGAAATAATTTACTACAACAAAAGGTAATAGATATTTACGTAATCAGTTAGGAAACGCGTTGTGTTGTGTAACAATGGGATTTTGCGGGACGAGAGAAGCGAGATCCCGCAACATCACAGAGTTACACAAAATGGCGTTTCCTAACGTGTCACGTACATTTTTTCTAATTTTGACGAAACATTTCGCATGAACAAAAATAATGACCAGTTTTACATGAGTTCTGCCGACTCTTCACACAAAAACTGGTGTTGAAATGAACATTACATCACCAGTTATGTAAAATTTCACTTTACGCAACTGGTTACGTAAAGTGAGACGTTTCAAAACTTCCGTCAGTTTTGAAAAGTGTCAAATTATATGTCGAAATTAGAAAAAATGTATTTCACTACAACAAAAATAAATAATAACTGGCCGAGACCTCTGCTCACGATTCAGATAAAATCCATCATTGAAAATAGCGAATGACTATCGGCCCCAACAGTAAATGCCTCCACAGTATTTTATTCAAATAATCACCGAGACCTTTGCTTATATAAACCACCTTATGGCAGCGGTGGACCATTTCGGGTAGTATTGGTGGAATTGAATTCTTCTGTATTGCTTATCTGCATGGTTTATTTATTGCGCTCTGTCTCTAGATAGACCAATGCAGTTATAGTATTGAAATCGTGCATTTTGGTTGTGAAGAAGACTAAAACGTCGATGTCATTCGTGGCCAAGTCACTGAATAGCAAACAATCTGAAGGGTATCTCCCATGCAGTAATGATTTTGCGCCTTCGAAGTGCCTACCTAATATTAGTAGGCATTTTTCTTGAAAGGGTTTAATTATACTGTGGAGTGAACAGAAACAGTTATTTTAAACACATAGCAAAATCGATGAAAATTTTGATGTAGTATTTTTTTTTGCAGCCACGGAATCATGGCATATGATTTCAACTTCTACCGCTAGGGGGCATCAAGATGTATCGCCGCCACCCCGGCACAAGCACTCTGCCGTGCTACAGGGTGACACTATGTGGATCTACGGGGGCATGACGGACCTGCAGGAACGGGCAGATCTATGGAAGTGGGACATTCCCTCAAGGTATCTAACCATGGTGGAATCGACAGAAATTTGTTTATTTCCTTTTTTTGGATGTACGACAAATTGATATCCATTATACAGGACGTGGAAAGAAATTATGAACTGAGAAAATCTAATCACGAATCTGCGATTGAAGATCTTTAAAAATAACAAAATTTCATCGTTCAAGTTTGAATCTCTTGATTGGGTGAAAATATTGGAAAAGAATATTCTCAGATGCAATTATGAACATATATATATATATATATATATATATATATATCAGAAGTAGACAAAATATCACAATATTTCTTCGTGTTGATGGGGTTGCAGTCAAAATTTTGTCCTTAAATGAGAATTCTTCGTTACATAGCCGAGCTTTCGGAAATGATTATTTCCTTTATCAATATCAAGACATCTATAAAAAATTATATGAATAAAACACTTGTAGAAAAAACAGGTGACAGAATATACTCACTAACATGAGATTGGTAAGTAATGTTTGAAAGCAGTATCACTGGCAAACACCGGTAAATCTTATTTTACAACAACAACTGAAGATCAAAATGGACGATTGAGTTTGTTTTCAGAGATTCTTGTCGCGAGACATACGAGGATATCCGATTCGGATCTACGATCATTGTCGTTCCTCGATATCCATATCTTAATTTTCGTTAAGGGTTTTGCAATTTTGAACAGGATATCCTCCATGTTTTACATCATCATTTCCTTACCATAATAGAAAATTTGTGTGAAGAAACAATGTGTCAATCCATCAAGACTCCTTCATCCATAGAACGGCTAGGCTCTGGAATTCATTGCCTGTGGAAGTATTCCCAACAACATATAATCTCCAAAAGTTCAAGAAAAATTCCAATACCTACCTCCTGTCCCTATCCTCCCTAGGAACGCACGATGTTCTTTGAACATTATAGGGATTCCCTTTCGTGCGCTCCAAGCGATAAAAAAAAAAGAAGATCACTTTCTGAATAAAAAATAAACTTCCAAAACTATTTCCTTTCTACTATTTTGTTAATTTGCTCAAAAAAATAAATGAGCTTGCTGTCCACCTATTTTGTTAGTTCCTGAAACGTTCACCAGAGGTCACCCACTTCCTGATTGCTGCGAATTCGACATTTTGTTCTAGAATCGTGCGCTATTTTTATGACAGATGAGTACAGATAGATGACAGTTGAGTTCGGATAACTGACACATTATTGGATGGAGAGTTTCATGCGCACTGTAGATGAATTATTTCGTTTTTGTTCTCAAGGACGTGGTACAGTGTGAAGTGCAAAGTCAGTCCAGGGCCCTTACATAGCCATGCGGCCTGTAGACTACCTTCTTCCAGCATGCTGGTGTTTGGAGGAGAAAAAGGTGGTCAGAACTCCAACGAACTCTGGAAGTTCAGTTTCGGTGAGTAATCAACAGGAGGCTGAAATTTATCTAGAACCCTTGATTATTATTTACACTAACAAGATGATCCATCTCCATGTAAAATGTCGAAGCCACCATTCTGGTGCTGAACAATAAGCTGAATAAAAAATCTAACGCATCTTTCATAGTTTTGAAAATATCATCGAAAAACTGAATTTTGCTTTTTTCGTTTTTATTTATTAATAGTTAAGTTAGCCTATTTCCATCGAAACAAAGCAGCTTTTTGCAAATAATTCGATAATGATATTATGTAGGTATCTTTTTTCAACACACGAAGGAAGAAACAATAAACGACAGTCAACTTTTTTTTATGGACGCCATATTGAATTTTTATATTTGGCATTTGCTATCTGAAAGAGTGAACTTCTATCGTTGAAACTGTACCAAACTGTCAAAATTCCAAATTGATTAACAAATTAGACAAATTTGTTTCCATGGCAATACTCTTCGGAAAAATGTAAATTAGGAAATTTCGACCATGATATGAAACCAAAACATGTTGTAGTAAATCGTCTGAATAAGAAATAGAAGCAGTATTCAGAAATATAAAATTTCAATATGGCGTCTGTAAAAAAAATTGACAGTCGTTTGTTTCTTTCATCGTGAGTTGAATAAAAAAGTATATAATATAATTTTCGAATTCTTTGCAGAAAAATAGAACCATAAATCAGTTTTTCAGAGACCAACATCATTTTTGATATTGCTTTGCGTTTTGATCAAAATGAAAAAGGGTTAGTTTTTCATTAAATTAATCATGTTACGATATTTTTTACGAAGGGTTTGAAGAAAAAAACAGGCTCATCCAAAGAGCATTTTTATGAATGTGCTACTTATTTACTCGGAAACGGTGAGTTTAAAATTCTATTCATGTATTTATTTATTGAAAATGTGACTTCCAGTCAGAATAAAGTACTGGTATAAGGACGTATAGTTAACAATGATACCTAAAACTATACAATTATAATAAACTCATAAATAATATAATATTTGAATACATTAAGTATTTAATTTTGACCAAATCATTTTATATTGGTGAGCAACGACAATCAATTTGAATATGAATCAAAAGTTGACGAAAAAAAAAATCATCTATTTCTTTCAGAAATGATGAATTTTTCGAGTTGGTACTTGAATTTTAGGTAACACCCCAGAGTATCATTTTTAAATGATATTATTCGCAAAAATAACACAATAAAATATCATCACACTGACGCAACATTGGAAAAAATAACAATAACATCAAATAACAATTTTAATGAATGACAATATTATGAAATGACATCAATAATGAATAACATCATGCAATATTATCAATATTTATTATAGCATAAAACAAAAAAGGTTGGGTTGGTTACGGAATCATATCTCTATTATTTCATGTTATGGCCCAAACCTTTTGAATACTCCAATTTATTTTCATGATCGTAGTTCAATACGATTCTTTCAACCAAGATCTTCATATGTTTTTCTTTTTTTGTTTGTTTGTTTCATAGGACGGTCTGTGATGAATTGTTCACATATCACTTCTGTGTGATGTTCTGCTCTTCTTGAATCACTTGAAGAAATGTTGTCATTGAAGCATGACTGGTCTGAATTTTTCTACTGAATGCATTATGCCATCCTTCTACGGAATTATTAGTCCTTGGCTGATCGTTCATTGTAGCTGAATAACAATTCCATAGTTCTATTGAAACCAACGGAGGACGTATTCCTCGTCTCTGGCGGCTGATGCCAACCCATGTGGCTCTGAAACATTGTAGTGAATCTTCGATGGTTTCCATGTTGTTTTTGTAGTAATGTATGAGTTCTTCAAAACCATCGATAACGTCATCATTTGGTGAAAATGACAAAGCTATTAACATTTTCATACAGGTAGCAAACTCTTCATCTTCTGAATACCTTTGCTGTTATTCCAATTGTTGTATTTTACGCCAGATACTCTGGCCGAGGTGTATTATCGCGTTTGGGAAAGCATCCCGGGCAGCAGTAATGAAACTCAATTCGAAGTCACAGATATTGACTTCGGGATATAATTGTGGTTTAGATTATCTTTCAATCAACAGTGAGCATGAATATGTGAATGCCAGTTACGAAGGACAGACTGTTACCGTCAAAAATATAAGGCCTGAAGGCTCTTAGTGAACAGCTCGTGACGTCAGCTAACAGAGGCCACACGTTCTATCGCGTGTCGAGCGGTCGGGTTCCCGAATTCTTTTTCTTTTCCATCAAAATGATGAGTTTTTGAAACCATTTCATATACATAGTGCGACTTCTTAGGAGCTAGCACATGAACCATAGGCAGAACTTCACCATCTATCAATCCGTGAATTGTATAAAGTTGCATGAAAATCTTTGGCACAGTGCGAAAAGTTCCATCACAGAACCATGAGTGCATTCTGCGAGACACCGTAGATTTCTTTTTGTTGCGAATACAAGGAATCTTCTTTTATTGCCACCACTGTCATGGAGTAGAAATGGGCCTCCTTTCAATGTCTTTTTGAACACATCTGTAAGTTCTAATTCTTCTCGGGTTCTTGGCATTTGCAATTGATGATTGATTTTTCTTCTTGTTATATACAGATGTTGAAATGAGTAGAGCAATCTGTTTGTTTTATATAAATATTTTCCAGAGAAATGTTATTATTATGTGATGTTCATATGGTGTTATGATACTTATTTCTAATATTATTTTTGTATGTGTTAATTTTTTATGTATGATATTCTTTCGTATAATATTTTTGTGTATGATATTCATTCATGTGATATTTTAATGTGTTATTTTTTATCTATGTTATTCTGACGTAGAACCGAATTTTATTGTATTTTTGCAATTTTTTATATTATCTGGTAATTTGTTATATTCGAAAAGAGCAGCGTGGGTGAATCTTTTTTGGCCTATAGAAGAATTTAACGATATCAAGATGAAATAAACCATGTTGTCTAGTTTGGTAATCATGAATTTCATTGTTTCGTATTGAAATAAAATAGTATATCCTGTTTTTTCTTTCAAATCATGATTCTCTACCTACCGGAGCTATTGCACGTTCTAAAATTTGCAGTTAATATGAATTCATAATTTCTTTCGACGTTGAAAATTAAAAAAATTAAGCGAAAATCCTATTAATCCGGAATAGGGTGATTTTTGCACACAGAGGTTCGAGAGCGTGAGGAACAATAATATGAAGTTTCTTGCAAGAAAAATCCTAATATCACTTCATAAAAAACGACCCCTCTTTATTTCAATAAAAAGCAGGGCACTATCCAAAAGGATGATGATGATGAATCTCGCTGGGTGTGATGACAAAGGCTCTGTAAATAATTAGCTAAACAGTGGGGAAACTTTGGTGGAATCTTTATTAATTTTGGTTTCTGTATCATTACTGATTTTTGTTGTTGGTTTTAGGTCTCGAGACATGGGAGAAAGTGACCACTACTAGCGTCAAACCACAGCCTCGTTCGGAAAGCATAGCTCTCACTGTGCCCGAACTGCTCCTCAACGGCTCTTCCATGGCTTCCTACGACTCCAGATCTGTCAGAATACGCACAAGAACTTGTACTTCGGCCGATAGGGGCAATCGACATTCTTCCTATCTGCCCAATAACAAGGTTCGAATGTGTTTCACCTTATGAGATAGATTCCCTGCAAAACAAATCAAATGATGTTTCTGTTAGGTAACTGTTTTTAATAAACCCGTATCTCTCGAGATGGAGAGTATAGGTGTCACTTTTTCTTCGTCGGGACTACTACAGAGAGGTCGTCACAAAGTTATTTTTCCATGATCACAAGGTTATCCTGAATTTTTAGGCAGGAGGCCTCTGCTTGTAATAATAATTTTGGTTGAGCCCCGCGTTCATTGAATATTCTACAGTAATATCACGATGTTCCTAATATTTCAGATGATTCTGTCAACACCACGAATCCGTCAGGACGAGTGGTATTGCAACACAATTGAGTTAACAATGAAAGACAGAATTATGCTGAGAACATATTCAGAACAAAATGGTATTTTGCTCGACCATTTCACGAAGCATAAGAATAAGAATTTATTATAATTTAACAAGCCACATAACCAAAATGATTTATTTTGACATCTACAGCATTTCATATTTTATGTCAAACTAATCGACAGACTTATTTGCTTTGCTATCCATGGTTGCATGGTTGAAAACTCCTTAGCAGATGGACCAATCAGAATTGAAAGACAGCTATAGTGGTTTGTGATAATACAAAAGTTGTCTTTGGCTTGTGATTGGTCAGATTATGTGAGAATTCAGAGATGAGTGAAATATTCAGGAAAATACAGCCTCAGAACCTTATAAAAAACATTGGGCAAATGAAAGTTCCATGAAAAACTGATGACATGAATTGAAAGAGGTGTTTTTCCTAAAAATTTCTGAAGAATTTCTCTTCGGGCAAGTTGTTTTCAAGCAGTCTCACATAATCAAATGTGTAACAATTTGGAACCCACCCAGGTGGTACCCAGCGAAAGAACCTACATCTTCCACCCCGCCCATCCCTCCCAAACCGACTGCAGCACCGACCTAGCCCAGCAGTTCTCCGAATCCAAGCTGCAGCAGCAACCTCCGGCAGCCTCCAGGAGCTTCCTGCAAGAGATCCAGAAGCTGTCGCAGCTGAACATCGGCCGCGTCAGCAACAAGTGCAGCTATACGGTGTTGACCGGCTGCGCTGGAGACAGCACTGAAAGTTTGCTGCGGCAGCACGCCAGTACGCAGCAAGGGGAGGGGGAAGTTGAAGTGATCGACACGGAACTAGCCACCCCTTCCAGAGGTAAAAATCATTCAATCAACCGATCGATGTCATTTCGACAAAATACGAGTATGCCAGATTACTGTCGTGACGAAATATGGTTCTGATGAATTGATATTCTGATAAAATACGGTTTTGTTGAAATACCGTTCCGTCAGAATACGATTCGGATGACAGCACGCAGCAAGGGTAGGGGAAAGTCCAGGTGATCGACACATAACTAGCCACTCCTTCCAAAGGGATGAGATTCATTCAACCAACCAACCAATGCATTTTCGACAAATTACAGTTCTGATTATTCACCATCGTAATGATTTACGGTCCTGATATATTGCCATTCCGACCAAATACGTTTATGACAGATTACTGTCGCGACAAAATATGGTTCTGATGAATTGTCATTCTGATAAAATATGGTTTTGTTGAAATACCGTTCCGTTAGAATACGATTCGAATGACATCGCGCAGCAAGGGTAGGGGAAAATCGAGGTGATCGACACATAACTAGCCACTCCTTCCAAAGGGATATTCATTCAACCAACCAACCAACCAATGCATTTTCGACAAATTACAGTTCTGATTATTCACCATCGTAATGATTTACGGTCATGATATATTGCCATTCCGACCAAATACGATTATGACAGATTACTGTCGCGACAAAATATGGTTCTGATGAATTGTTATTCTGATAAAATACGGTTTTGATGAAATTCCTTTCCTTCAGAATACGATTCGGATGACAGCACGCAGCAAGGGAAGGGGGGAAGTCTAGGTGGTCGACACATAACTAGCCACTCCTTCCAGAGATAATATTCGTTTAACGAATTGATCAATTCATTTTCGACGAATTGCAGTTCTGATTATCAACCATCAAGATGATTTATGGTTATGCTATATTCCCATTCCCACAAAATATGATTATGACAGATTGCTGAATTGTCATTCTGATAAAATACGGTTTTGTTGAGATACCGTTCCGTCCGACTACGATTCGGATGACAGTGCGCAGCAAAGGGGAGGGGAAATCGAGGTGATATTCATTCCACCAACCGATCATTTCAATTTCGACGAATTGCTGTTCTGATTATTTACCATCATAATGATTAACGAATATGATATATTGCTATTCCGACCAAATACGATTATGTTAGATTACTATCGCGACAAAATATGGTTCTGATGGATTGTCATTCTGTTAAAATACGGTTTTGTTGAAATATCGTTGTCTCAGAATACGATTCTGATGATATATCATTCTGATGGAATACGGTTATGATGAAGGACGACCATTCCTATAAAATATCTAGAAAAAAAACCGAAAATTTTTCTATATGGTTGGGATAACTTTGAAAATATTCATATTTGTAATGGGTCATTGTTTCTCCTTGTATATCTGAAAACACAAACTTCATGGACAGGATAGGTAGACCATCTCATTCTTGAACGATTATTACACAACATGGAACAAACCGGTCCAGAATCGGACTAGTATTTTTCATAATATTTTATTTCGAAATTAAGTGAAATATTCAGGTGGACCAATTTATTTCTGGACTCATGTTTATATGAAGTTTCTTTACTATTTTTGTTCCTAGAATCCGTGGTTGAACTCTTTCTATACGTAATTTTGGCACACCCTATATTTCGATACAATGCGGAGCCGATGGAAGATGTTCTGACGAAGTTATCGCATCCCCATGAATAATTCACAGGTACGATGGTGAAATCGAAATCAGCGTACGCCATAAAGAAAAAGTACCATCTGGACGTATCTCCGACCATTGACGAGGAATGCAAAACAACCACGCACAAGAAACGCGTGGAATTCGATTGTTCCGCCTTCAAGCTGCCTCGCGAACCGATCTCGGTGCCGAATTTCAGCACTTTAAACTTGACCACCCCTGTATTGACACCCGTCGAAGCCGCCAAACTAGTCTATCTGGATAGCGAAGAAGAGAGCGAGTTGGAGGAGAAGAAACGCGACCTACAGGTGGGTGTACCGCAAGGATCCGTTTCGGGGCCTCTAATGATTCTCGATGTATATGTGCAGTGCCATCGGCATCATATGGAAAAACTTTCAATGAAAATTTCTTTCGAGATTAAACTTGTGTGTTAAGTTTTGTTTTGAAAATTATGTGAAATGGAAAACTCGGTCGCTGATAATAAGCTCATTCATTCAAATTTACATTTTACATAATGTGTATTACAACAATTTTTGATATTATTGTCTCCGTTCAGAAGAATGCAAGCAGATTCCTTGATTTTTCTCTTCCGGTTGGTTTCTTCTTTTCCAAAGATTTTAATATTATTCCACTCTACCATATGTTGTCCATCTTTTCAGTAAGGATATGTTCAGCTAGTTTCGATTTGTCGATGTGTCTTTTCTTTATATTGTATTTATGATCCTTCGCCCTTATTGAAAGAGGTCTCTTGGTTTCACCTGTATAAAACATTCCACAAACACAAGGTATACTGTAAATATAATTTTTCGGTTTTGTTCGAGTTCGAATTGACTTCATCGTATTTTCAGTTTTGAACACAGTTTTCACTTGAAATTTATCACCATCCCGTTTTATTTTTTCAGATATGCCGGGAATGTATGGTATTATATTTGTCGTTATTGATGGTTGATTTTGATGTGGTGGACCTTGTTTGTTTTCAATTTGATGAATCGTCTTATCGACGAAATTCTTTGGACTTCGTTATTGAAAGTCTGCTGGTCAGATGATATTGATTTGGCTCTATCATGGAGTGATTTGATTATTCCTTTCTCAATACTTTTCTCATGATTTGATTGAAAATATTTTAGACTTCGTTATTGAAAATTTGTTGGTCAGATGATATTGATTTGGCTCTATCATGGAGTGATTTGATTATTCCTTTCTTAATACTTTTCTCATGATTTGATTGAAAATATTTTGGACTTCGTTATTGAAAATTTGTTGGTCAGATGATATTGATTTGGCTCTATCATGGAGTGATTTGATTATTCCTTTCTCAATACTTTTCTCATGATTTGATTGAAAATATTTTAGACTTCGTTATTGAAAATTTGTTGGTCAGATGATATTGATTTGGCTCTATCATGGAGTGATTTGATTATTCCTTTCTTAATACTTTTCTCATGATTTGATTGAAAATATTTTGGATAGCGTTATTGAAAATTTGTTGGTCAGATGATATTGATTTGGCTCTATCATGGAGTGATTTGATTATTCCTTTCTTAATACTTTTCTCATGATTTGATTGAAAATATTTTGGACTTCGATATTGAAAATTTGTTGGTCAGATGATATTGATTTGGCTCTATCATGGAGTGATTTGATTATTCCTTTCTTAATACTTTTCTCATGATTTGATTGGAAATATTTTGGACTTCGTTATTGAAAATTTGTTGGTCAGATGATATTGATTTGGCTCTATCATGGAGAGATTTGATTATTCCTTTCTTAATACTTTTCTCATGATTTGATTGAAAATATTTTGGACTTCGTTATTGAAAATTTGTTGGTCAGATGATATTGATTTGGCTCTATCATGGAGTGATTTGATTATTCCTTTCTTGATACTTTTTTCATGATTTGATTGAAAATATTTTGGACTTCGTTATTGAAAATTTGTTGGTCAGATGATATTGATTTGGCTCTATCATGGAGAGATTTGATTATTCCTTTCTTAATACTCTTCTCATGATTTGATTGAAAATATTTTGGACTTCGTTATTGAAAATTTGTTGGTCAGGTGATATTGATTTGGCTCTATCATGGAGTGATTTGATTATTCCTTTCTTAATACTTTTCTCATGATTTGATTGAAAATATTTTGGACTTCGTTATTGAAAATTTGTTGGTCAGATGATATTGATTTGGCTCTATCATGGAGAGATTTGATTATTCCTTTCTTAATACTTTTCTCATGATTTGATTGAAAATATTTTGGACTTCGTTATTGAAAATTTGTTGGTCAGATGATATTGATTTGGCTCTATCATGGAGAGATTTGATTATTCCTTCCTTAATACTTTTCTCATGATTTGATTGAAAATATTTTGGACTTCGTTATTGAAAATTTGTTGGTCAGATGATATTGATTTGGCTCTATCATGGAGAGATTTGATTATTCCTTTCTTAATACTTTTCTCATGATTTGATTGAAAATATTTTGGACTTCGTTATTGAAAATTTGTTGGTCAGATGATATTGATTTGGCTCTATCATGGAGAGAATTGATTATTCCTTTCTTAATACTTTTCTCATGATTTGATTGAAAATATTTTGGACTTCGTTATTGAAAATTTGTTGGTCAGATGATATTGATTTGGCTCTATCATGGAGTGATTTGATTATTCCTTTCTTAATACTTTTCTGATGTTTTGATTGAAAGTTCAGGTATCTGTTAGTATGGGTCTTTTCACGATACACACTTGTTACAAAGGTGTTATTTGATATCTCAATAAGAACATCTAGAAATGGTTACTGATTGTTAGATTCAATTTCCAAATTGGACTTTATGGTAGGTTTGGCATTGTTCACATAATTCAGAAAAATATCTAGACGAGGAGAGATAATCCCAAAAAAATCTGGAATAATGACAGTACTATTAAGTGTTGATAATGTGTCTACTATCTACGATTCCTCAATTCAGAATCTAACATTATTATGGGAAGTTTTTTCTCGATCATATGATGCCAACTTTATGAATGACACTGTATAGGTATTGGCGACAGTGGAAGCCAACAACGAGAAGAACATCTACGAGAATTTCCAGCCGATCCAAAGAGACGACAGCTACAGCTCGCACATTGGCTACGCAGACAATCCCTTGTACCAGGAAATGATGATTTCCCTCCTGGAAAAATCAGTTTCCTCCACTTCGGACTATGCCAGCATAGAGACCGTCAATCGTCTGTCTTCGGCGAGCAGTTATAGCGTGAAAAGTGCCAAAACTGGGGTGTCACAAGACGATAAAGAAATGAGGGAGAAGGGTAACGGACCTTTTGGCTTCTGCAATCCCAATTATCTTGGTCCTGATGTGAACCTCGACAAGAAAAACGTCGTCAAAATATTGACGCCAGAAGAAACTGTGAGGTAAGTAGTTGATTAAGGTACTCTGTCCTAAGTTACATTCTATCTGAGATCTGTGTGTTTTTCCCTAATACAATTACATTTGCAATATCTGAAAATGATTTGGAGTAATACATATTCTATGTGAAGTTTTTCAGATTTTTAATAGGCCAAATAAAAATTTTCATTTTCCCACCTAAGACTTCCATACGATATAGTCACCGACCCATCTTCGGACGGCCAGAAGTGCCAGAAAACGTCAGAAATTCACGCGAATTATCGCTTTTCCAGTAGAAAATGACCTGTTAAATCGAATGAGACCATAATCAGCCCCGTAGGACAGATAGTTTTTGAGATATCGGCGCTCAAAGTCAGCTTTTCGCTTTTTTTGCCAATAGGAGCACTCCGGTAGACTACTACGTCTCCATTTTTCAAAATTTCCCGATTTTCACCACAGATTCGTTCATTTCGATATCGAATTAGTCTATGTGAATTTTTTTCAGATTTTTAATAGGCCAAATAAAAATTTTCATTTTCCTACCTAAGACTTCCATACGATATAGTCACCGAGCCATCTTCGGACGGCCGAAAGTGCCAGAAAACGGCAGAAATTCACGCGAATTATCGCTTTTCCAGTAGAAAATGACCTGTTAAATCGAATGAGACCATAATCAGCCCCGTAGGACAGATAGTTTTTGAGATATCGGCGCTCAAAGTCAGCTTTTTGCTTTTTTTGCCAATAGGAGCACTCCGGTAGACTACTACGTCTCCATTTTTCAAAATTTCTTGATTTCCACCACAGATTCGTTCATTTCGATATCAAATTAGTCTATGTGAATTTTTTCAGATTTTTAATAGGCCAAATAAAAATTTTCATTTTCCCACCTAAGACTTCCATACGATATAGTCACCGACCCATCTTCGGACGGCCAGAAGTGCCAGAAAACGTCAGAAATTCACGCGAATTATCGCTTTTCCAGTAGAAAATGACCTGTTAAATCGAATGAGACCATATTCAGCCCCGTAGGACAGATAGTTTTTGAGATATCGGCGCTCAAAGTCAGCTTTTCGCTTTTTTTGCCAATAGGAGCACTCCAGTAGACTACTACGTCTCCATTTTTCAAAATTTCCTGATTTCCACCACAGATTCGTTCATTTTGATATCAAATTAGTCTATGTGAATTTTTTCAGATTTTTAATAGGCCAAATAAAAATTTTCATTTTCCCACCTAAGACTTCCATACGATATAGTCACCGAGCAATCTTCGGACGGCCGAAAGTGCCAGAAAACGGCAGAAATTCACGGGAATTATCGCTTTTCCAGTAGAAAATGACCTGTTAAATCGAATGAGACCATATTCAGCCCCGTAGGACAGATAGTTTTTGAGATATCGGCGCTCAAAGTCAGCTTTTCGCTTTTTTTGCCAATAGGAGCACTCCAGTAGACTACTACGTCTCCATTTTTCAAAATTTCCTGATTTCCACCACAGATTCGTTCATTTTGATATCAAATTAGTCTATGTGAATTTTTTCAGATTTTTAATAGGCCAAATAAAAATTTTCATTTTCCCACCTAAGACTTCCATACGATATAGTCACCGAGCAATCTTCGGACGGCCGAAAGTGCCAGAAAACGGCAGAAATTCACGGGAATTATCGCTTTTCCAGTAGAAAATGACCTGTTAAATCGAATGAGACCATATTCAGCCCCGTAGGACAGATAGTTTTTGAGATATCGGCGCTCAAAGTCAGCTTTTCGCTTTTTTTGCCAATAGGAGCACTCCAGTAGACTACTACGTCTCCATTTTTCAAAATTTCCTGATTTCCACCACAGATTCGTTCATTTTGATATCAAATTAGTCTATGTGAATTTTTTCAGATTTTTAATAGGCCAAATAAAAATTTTCATTTTCCCACCTAAGACTTCCATACGATATAGTCACCGAGCAATCTTCGGACGGCCGAAAGTGCCAGAAAACGGCAGAAATTCACGGGAATTATCGCTTTTCCAGTAGAAAATGACCTGTTAAATCGAATGAGACCATATTCAGCCCCGTAGGACAGATAGTTTTTGAGATATCGGCGCTCAAAGTCAGCTTTTCGCTTTTTTTGCCAATAGGAGCACTCCAGTAGACTACTACGTCTCCATTTTTCAAAATTTCCTGATTTCCACCACAGATTCGTTCATTTTGATATCAAATTAGTCTATGTGAATTTTTTCAGATTTTTAATAGGCCAAATAAAAATTTTCATTTTCCCACCTAAGACTTCCATACGATATAGTCACCGAGCAATCTTCGGACGGCCGAAAGTGCCAGAAAACGGCAGAAATTCACGGGAATTATCGCTTTTCCAGTAGAAAATGACCTGTTAAATCGAATGAGACCATATTCAGCCCCGTAGGACAGATAGTTTTTGAGATATCGGCGCTCAAAGTCAGCTTTTCGCTTTTTTTGCCAATAGGAGCACTCCAGTAGACTACTACGTCTCCATTTTTCAAAATTTCCTGATTTCCACCACAGATTCGTTCATTTTGATATCAAATTAGTCTATGTGAATTTTTTCAGATTTTTAATAGGCCAAATAAAAATTTTCATCTTCCCACCTAAGACTTCCATACGATATAGTCACCGAGCAATCTTCGGACGGCCGAAAGTGCCAGAAAACGGCAGAAATTCACGGGAATTATCGCTTTTCCAGTAGAAAATGACCTGTTAAATCGAATGAGACCATATTCAGCCCCGTAGGACAGATAGTTTTTGAGATATCGGCGCTCAAAGTCAGCTTATCGCTTTTTTTGCCATTAGGAGCACTCCGGTAGACTACTACGTCTCCATTTCCCAAAATTTTCTGATTTCCACCACAGATTCGTTTGTTTCGATATAAAATTTGTCTATGTGAGTTTTTTCAGATTTTTAATAGCCCAAATAAAAATTTTCATTTTCCCACCTAAGACTTCCATACGATATAGTCACCGATCCATCTTCGGATGGCCGAAAGTGCCAGAAAACGGCAGAAATTCACGGGAATTATCGCTTTTCCAGTAGAAAATGACCTGTTAAATCGAATGAGACCATATTCAGCCCCGTAGGACAGATAGTTTTTGAGATATCGGCGCTCAAAGTCAGCTTTTCGCTTTTTTTGCCAATAGGAGCACTCCAGTAGACTACTACGTCTCCATTTTTCAAAATTTCCTGATTTCCACCACAGATTCGTTCATTTTGATATCAAATTAGTCTATGTGAATTTTTTCAGATTTTTAATAGGCCAAATAAAAATTTTCATCTTCCCACCTAAGACTTCCATACGATATAGTCACCGAGCAATCTTCGGACGGCCGAAAGTGCCAGAAAACGGCAGAAATTCACGGGAATTATCGCTTTTCCAGTAGAAAATGACCTGTTAAATCGAATGAGACCATATTCAGCCCCGTAGGACAGATAGTTTTTGAGATATCGGCGCTCAAAGTCAGCTTATCGCTTTTTTTGCCATTAGGAGCACTCCGGTAGACTACTACGTCTCCATTTCCCAAAATTTTCTGATTTCCACCACAGATTCGTTTGTTTCGATATAAAATTTGTCTATGTGAGTTTTTTCAGATTTTTAATAGCCCAAATAAAAATTTTCATTTTCCCACCTAAGACTTCCATACGATATAGTCACCGATCCATCTTCGGATGGCCGAAAGTGCCAGAAAACGGCAGAAATTCACGCGAATCATCGCTTTGCGAGTAGAAAATGACCTGCTGAATCGAATGAGACCATAATCAGCCCCGTAGGACAGATAGTTTTTGAGATATCGGTGTTCAAAGTCAGCTTTTCGCTTTTTTTGCCAATAGAAGCACTCCGGTCATGATTTCCACTTATATAACTTTGAGTCTATATGACCATCACAATATTAGATAGCTGGGAAGTTGATATACCTTTCAAGTCGACAGTCATACATCAGATAGTAAATAGTGCTATAGACATTCACAAATTACATTCCAAACTACTTACTAAATTCACGGATATAATTATAATACTCGAAACTGTAGACATTTTCAAGTCCCAAGAGTAATGACGAACTATGGAATCAGTTCAATATTCTATAAAGGAGTTTCAGAGGACAACAAAATACCATCAAATATAAGAAGAGGTATAAAAAAATTCAAAGCTTTGTTAAAGTCTCACATTCCATTGAAGTTATGATTTGTACAGTAAGCATTAGGAGATTAGGAGGTTATTGGATTTAAAAGGAAAACAATTAGATACTTGTATATAGCATACCGGGTGACACAGGAGACATGTAGCAGCCTGTAGTTTTTTATTTGAAGAGATGAAATTTTGAAATTCACAGGCGATATATGATAGCGCACTTTACGAACTTAACGACAATTTTTTTCGACTACCTGTTTGACCGGAAGTGACCCCAACTTTTTTTTTAAATGTCACCCTGTACAATTCTTCAGTCTATCTTTTTCGCCTTAAAATTCTCTATCCAACCATGTATCACAAAGCGGCATTTATTTCTTGATTCGCTGTTGAATTGCTTTTTATTCAAAAAGAATAAGTTGGCTGTGACATTAATTCGATGATATATCGACACTTGGTAGGCTTTGAAATTTGAATATCATTAGTAAACCGATATTATTCAAAATGTTTTGATATTCTGATTAATGTCTGCAGGTTGTCAATAGCTTGTTTGAGTCAAGATGAAAACCTTCGAAAATAACTCATGATATTGAGGAATCTAAGATAGGAACATATTTTTTCGAATTCAGCTACTCGTACAGAAACTATCTGTCTTTTATTTTCGCCATGTACCTATCACATGATCTCCCCATTTGGAATAATAAAACTGAAATTGTTCCTCTTATACGATGATCCACAGGGCTATCAGTCTATTTTTTCATAATTATTTCACTCAGTAGGCGGTGTACCTACACAAAATGTTTTATGTGT